CGTGACACTCTTCCACAGGAGTTGGGAAAAACATCACCTTCAACATATGGTTCTTGGAGAATATCTTCAAGGACTATTCCATTCACTTCACATCTCTCTGTCCTCCCGACCTTCCCTCCCCTCCTCCTTCAGGGACCCTTCTCACAAGAGACTATTATGGCAGGAAATAGATCACCTGTTGTGCCTAGGGGCTATGGAACCAGTCACTACTCACCTCAGAGGCAAGGGTTTTTATTCTAGATATTTCATGATCCCCAAGAGAAATGGAGGTTGGAGATCCAGACTAGATTTAAGGGCACTAAACAGATACGTGAAGACGCAAATGTTCAAGATGGTCACACTAGCAGCCATTTTGCCATCTCTGGAGCAAGCCCTCGACCTACAAGATGCCTACTTCCACATTTCAATTTGACCGTCCCACAGACGGTTCCTCCGATTTACCTTTGGGCAGGACCATTATCAGTACAGAGTGCTCCCATTCAGCCTCTCTTCCACACCCACGGTATTCGACAAGTTCCTCTCCATCATAGTGGCGCATCTATGAACATTAGGGATTATCCTTTGCCCATATCTGGACGACTGCCTTCTCATGGCTTGTTCTTTCAAAGATGCCCTGCGAGCCACCCAGAGGACCATGCATATATTTGCACAACTGGGTCTGCAGCTCAACACCTAGAAATTACCTTTGACCCCAATACAGCATCTGGAATTTATTGGGGCCGAACTCAACGCAGTACAAGCACGAGTGTTCCTCCCACTGCACAGATTCAACACCCTGACAAGTCAAGAGAGACAATCCAGGCCAGCCCACAACCACCAGCCAGGAATTGTCTCCAGCTTCTCAGGCACATGGTGGCATGCATATTTGTGACCCCATACACCCGATTGTATATGAGATTTTACATATATGGCTCAGATCTGTCTACTTTCTAAACAAGGATGGGCTGAACAAGCCACTGTTGATGCCCTCCAGAGTCAAACACTCCCTGGATTGGTGGAACGAACCATCCAACATCTGCACAGGCATCCCCCACCATCACTGATTCTAACAACTTATGCCTCATTTATAGGCTGAGGAGCCCACCTAAACAACCGCACAGTCCAGGGCAAGTGGTACCACACAGAATCAGTCCTCCATATCAATCTTTTGGAACTAAGAGCTGTCAGAAATGTCTGTGCACAGTTTCTCCCTCTCATCAGAGATACTCACACGAAAGTAATGAGACAATATAGCATGCATGTTTTACATAAATCACCAACCAAGGTGCCAGATCCCGCTCCCTTTGCATAGAAGCACTGAAACTTTGGAATTGGTGCATCTGCCACAATGTGCTCATTTCAGCCACTTACCTGCCAGGGATACAAAATGTGACAGCAGACAGTCTGAATCAGAATTTCTCTTATGACCAGAAATGGGAGTTGAACCCAGTAGCGCTTCATAGCGATCAACCTATGGGGAACCTCGACAATAGACCTGTTTGCTACTTACCAGAACAAGAAATGTCTCCACTACTGTTCCAGAGTTGGACTGAGGAAACAGTTTCTAGGGGAAGCTTTCATCTTTCCATGGGGCAGGTTGATGCTCTATACCTTTCCTCCATTCCCTCTGATATCAAAGGTCCTATTAAAGATACAGCAAGAGAGAGCAAAAGACAGACTGATTGCTCCCTCCTGGCCAAGACAAGTGTGGTACCCATACCTTGCGGTACCCATACCTTGCACAGCTGACAGTATGTCTTCCAATTCCTCTTCGACCCATTCCTCACCTGCTCTACCAAAATGACGGATGGATCCTTCACCCCAACCTACCTACAACCTATCCCAACCTCTGGTTCCAGGCTTGGCTTCTTCATGGTTCCAGCACTTAGAGAGCAAATGCTCCAAGGAGGTGAAAGAGGTGTTACTGCACAGTAGGAAATTGCTTTGTTGTACTTGCCTGCAGAAGTGAAAATTCCAAAATTGGTGCAATTCCAAACCAGTGGCTCTGACATCTTCCTCCCTCCCTTTGATCCTAGACACTATTCTAGACCTCAGAAGGACTGGTGTCTCTTACCTCACTTAAAGTACATCTAGCAGCCTTAACAGCCTTCCACTATCAGGTGGACAGATGCTCAATATTTGCCCATCCAACAACAGATTCATTAAGAGAATGTTAAACCTCTTCCCACACATTAGACCACCCACACCAACGTGGGACCTCAGTCTGGTTCTAAGAACCTTAACTAGACCATCCTTTGAACCTATGGTCACTTGCTCCCTTCCACACCTGTCCATGAAGACAGCATTTCTAATGGCTATTACCTCTGTATGATGAATAGACAAGAAGCAATGGGCTTAAATTGCAGCAAAGGTGGTTTGGGTTGGACATTAGGAAAAAATTCCTAACTGTCAGGGTGGTTAAACACTGGAACAAATTGTCTAGGTAGGTTGTGGAAGCTCCATCATTGGAGATTTTTAAGGGCAGGTTAGACAAACACCTGTCAGAGGTGGTCTAGATAATACTTAATCCTGCCAGGAGATCAAGGGACTGGACTAGATGACCTCTTGAGGTCTCCACTAGTCCTATGATTCTGTGATTCTATTAATAGGAGAAATAGCGGCACTGATGGCACACCCACCGTTCATGGCCTTTTTTTAAAGACAAAGTCACCCTGAGACCAAAAACCGAAATTCCTCCCCAAGATAACCTTGTCCTTCCATATGAACCACCTCATTCACCTCCCTACCTTTTTCCCAAAACCACATTGGGACAACAGGGAGGCAATTCTTCTCATGCTTGATGTTAGGAGAACCCTAGCATTCTATTTGGACAGGACTAAGGACTTTAGCAAGTCCCCTAAACTCTTCCTTTCGTTCTCAGAAAAATCCAAAGGCTCCACAATATTAGCTCAAAGACTCTCCAAATGAGTCTCCAGTTGCATTAATCACAGTTACCATGAGCGTAACCTACTGCCCCCATCAGTAATCTGCATGCACTCTGAGATCCATTTCTACCTCCAGTCATATTTGTTAACGATGTCCCCATCTCAGAAATCTGCAGGGCAGCAACTTGGGCCACTGTCCAAACTTTCGCAGAACACTATGCAATTACTCGAGACTCTGCCTCTGATGCCAATTTCTGCTCCACAATACTATTGTCAATAACAGACTCCACTCCGAAGCCCCAGCCCTCCAGGAAGGCTACTGCTGTGGAGTGACCAACAGTAAAGCAACCAAAGGGATACTACTACTCAAAGAAGAAGTTACTCACTTTGTGCAGTAATGATGGTTCTTCGAGATGTGTGTCTCTATGGGTGCTCCACAAACCATCCTCCTCCCCTCTACTTCGGAGTTCTTGACAAGGCACTCTGCGGTGGAGAAGGAACTGAGGGCGGTTTGCCCGCACAGCACTAGTTAGCCTCAGGGCAGACCACGAAGGAGGGAGGGTGCATGTGCGGGCCGAATGGACACTGCTACCAAAATTCTCCAGTGAGAGGCGCAGGGGCACAGATATATCTACAGTGGAGCACCCATAGGGACACATCTCTTGAAGAACTATTGTTACTGTACAAAGTGAGTAACTTCCTCTTTTAAAACTGGACATTTAATGAACTCTCATAAGCAGCACAATCTGGGTTTTGTACCAAGTATGCTATAAAGGCTTTAAATGATATTTTCAGACTGGATTAAAAGGCCATTTCAAATGCTCAGGAAAATCTGCCTGATTAAAACATTTTCAAAAGATGAGAGTTACAGATTCCTGTAAATAGGAAATAACTGTGGTATCTCTGACAACAGTGTGGTAACTGTTGATTATTTTTTAATGGTAATCAGTTTATAGTATAATATTGTCATAAAATTTATATCGTTTGGATATCCTTAGCATCTCTTCTCTAGAGTGATTCAGCAGCTCCTTAGCCCTCTGAGAAATGAAATCATTAGTGCTGAAAAAAGCAGCATTTTTTTAAAATGTTTCCGTTTGACATATAATATGTCACTAATTTATAGAAAACGTGTGGTTGGCAGACAGCCTGGGAGAGATAGTGTATGCCTGCTTAACAAGGGGTTGTTGCCAGTATGATTTTCATGCACCTTTAATTGAGAGGGGAGAAACTGGTACAAAAAGTGAGTTTCTGGATTAGTTCAAGCCCAATATGTTGTTTCTGTTACCAATTGTCAGAAAACAAAGCTCATCAAGTGTGTGGCAAATTTTCAGAAGCACTGTCATTTAAAGATATTCCCTTGTTTTCTTAAGAACACCACCATTATAATTTTGAAGCCAACCAAGCAATATATTTGTTTTGATATTAAACCTTTCCCTATCCAACTCTCTTTCACCATCCCTCCTGCTTCATCTCACATTTAAACCAGATAATCCTAACAACTGGGCTCTTTTCCTTTATACATGTGGTGCTCCAGTAGGTTTACAGGGTGCCTCCAGGGTTGATATTCAAGGACTATCAAAATTTATTTTTGTCAGTGAGGCAGTGAAAAAAAAAAGGAATGGGTTCCAAGAAGCAAAAACTCCACAATCCATTTCTCACAACTAATGTGAATGTTTGATATTAGTGTTTGAATTAATTCTATCCACTTTTAATCCATATTATATCCTGTTTCAAAAAGATCTGATGGAAACCTTTATTATTTGCAGAGTAGGAAAGATGTATTTTGTGATAATCAAAGAAGCTGATGAATTAACAGTGACACTCTCCAATGTATATAAGTGTGACCCTATTCAAATCTCAACTCAAAACATGGAACACATTATGAATATTCATCCTAGTACACTCTGGTTACTGGCTTTGCTTCCAATAATACTTGACAGATTCATTTCCTTCATGTTTTCCTCCTTTAATATAGAGTATGGTTGATTTATTTCCTAATCCATGTGAATGTGAACTTCCTAGGACAGCTAAAAGCATGTGTTTTGCAGCTTGCCTACAAACAGCAAAAGGCAAAGGGAAAGTTTTTATTAATTTGGTAATATGTTTTCTTTTCTTATTTTTTTTCTCATAACTCAGCTTGGAAACCAGAAAATAACTGCCAATGTGATGGAGGTAAATGCTTCACAGACACACAGACAAACAGCAACAGAAGTTTCTTCACTGCCTCCTCCTTCCGTGGTACCAGTTAACAGAACCTCTTTCTCACCAGACAGTGGCACCCACCTAGCATCATTTATTTTGCCAACGCTTGATGATTTTTTGCCTTCACGCTTTTATAAAACCCTGGCCCTCTCACATTTTTCATATAAATACCCTTTCCTAGCTCCTGAAAATACTATCCACAGGAACGAAACAGCCTCTGTAATCACAGACTCTGCCATGAGTGAGTACTCCTCTCGCACAGTGAGTGAGTCCTCCACAGCCATTCTAGATGAGCTGCAGACTTGTAACTATGATACTACTGACTGTTCTGAAACACCTTCCCCAACCTTGAGCCAGATGTCTGTTGTGTCAGATGGCACCGCCTTAACCACCACTGCTGCCACTTCTCATGTAATTATCCTTCCTTTTTCCTCCAGTTTGTTCAAACAGGTTGCCAAAGGGGAAAAGAACTAATTCTTGTCTGTTATCCCATTACTCAAATGAGCATGGTGTCAGTTGTTTGTTCAGGTTCTGCACAGTCTGGTAATACGTTTTACTACAATAATAACAGATTCCGTAAAGCTACTCAAAATTGTGCAATGTGTTGTGCAATTCTAATTTCAACTAAGATATAGTGAACAGTTTGTTTACAACTAATGGCCAGTTTCACTCTTATCACTCAGTCCAAATATGTTAAAGAAAAGCAGACTGAGGAATTTAAGCTGATTTACTTTAAAATATTTAATTAGTTGCCGTACAAAAAGAATGCATAGGTTGAATTTTGAGAGAGGCTGAAAACCAGCTTTCGGCTATCATTGAGGTACATATGTCAGGCACTAATATACCTCATAGATTCATATTAATGGGGTTGATGAGAATACTTAACACAACCTTGTTTTCCGCTAGCCATGACCACTGACTGCATGAAGCTGTTTCTGTTTTATCTCCTCTAACTAACAGTTCCCTTTCTTTAGCACAGTTGTTTTACAGGAATGAACTGTATAAATAATCTTAGATTTGGATCCTAGGAATTCTGTTATTTTTTCAGGGCTGCACTTTCTCTGGGTAACTCAAGGAAAATAACCAAGTCTAAATACATATGTGTTTATGTATAATGTATAGTATATGTATATTTATATATGTATAAATTAAAAGGTATAGAATATGGGTCAAATTCTGCTCACTTTACCCATGTGAGTACTTCTGTTTACTTCAAGGGAACTGCATGTATGATTAAGGTGAGTCAGAATTGGTCCCATATTTCAATTAAATAATGGATCACTGAATTACAAAACTATAAATATTCTTTGTGCGGGTTCTCTGATGACATGATGATAAGCTGAGACCAGAGCTCAACTGCATCATAACGTTGCCATATTTATAACTTTTTTCCTACGATTTCGTGTTTTATCATTTACATGTAGTAACAACAGCAAATTTTAACTTACTATAAATGTAACTTTAAAACTAAAATATGTCTTTTTAAGAACGGTTTTACTCCAAAGTTGCAAATAATTACTTTGAAGAGTAGGGGTTCACTGTGCTGAATGCTTTTTATATTATGTGACAAAATTATGGGCATGTCAAGTAAAACCAGTAATTCCCACCCATAAAACAAAAAAATTTCAAGACATTGGAACTACAAATCTGTGTACTGCCTCCTAGTTGTAAGCAAAGATTAGACAATACACAGATAAAACAGAATCAACACAGGCTTTAACCAACCAACTCAGGAGAATGTCAGGTGCCTACATTATCTGTGTGCAAACAACTATTTGTTCTTTTTGAACAATATTTTTGGTATGTTAAAAAGATCATGATCTGTTTTTTTGCTAGCCCTACCACCTCTTCTTTTTTGGCCAATCTCCCCTCATGGAGATCTGTGATCTGGCAGCCACTTCCACCCTTAGCCAAAGTCATCCTTGTTAGCATGAGGCCAGATGGATAGACATCTTTTCAGTGCCATCTGTCCCTTTAACTGCCAACAAAAATTACTCATCCCTAATGGGGAAAGGGGGAGAAGGAGCCTCCCTCTGAAGGACATAAAGAAGAACCAGTCTGGGAGCCCCACATGGAGAGCGGGCTGCTGCAAGGAGCCACTACTGAGATGACAAGGAGCCACTGCTTCTGTTACCAACCTTTCCTCCTCCCCTTTTCTCCACCTATTGAAGAGGGTTAGATGACTGCAAATGTTTCCAGGAGCTGGAAAGTTGATTGGAAGATTGGCGGCAGGCATGGGTGTTCTGGCAATGACTCCATCCTCCGAGGTGGGGACACTAACCTGCTCAAGGGTGACTGCTTTTCTTTCATGAAGTAGATGATCACTGGAGGAACAGTAGGGACTGGATGGTCTTACACCATCCAACAGTTTACAAGAAGTTTTGTAGCTCTCTGACAGCTGCTGTGTCCAGTCCCAGTATGTTCAGCATTTACTCAACATTACCACAAAATGGTCTCTGAGAAAGCACAGTTATTTCCTATTCTACATGTAGTGAAAAGCTGTGGTATCTCAAACACCACTGTATAGCTACTTTTGGCAAAGCAGACATTAATAGTGACCACTGTATATCTTACTTGAACCTGTTCCTCCACTCAGTAAGTCTAAAGTGGTCAATGTTATAAAGTCCATATTAGCCAGCAGATACCACACAGTTATTTGCTAGTCAAAGTACACCTCTACCCTGAAATAACGCGACCCGATATAACACGAATTCGGATATAACGCGGTAAAGCAGCGCTCCAGGGGGGCGGGGCTGCGCACTCCGGCAGATCAAAGCAAGTTCGATATAATGTGGTTTCACCTATAACGTGGTAAGATTTTTTTGGCTCCCGAGGACAGCATTATATCAGGGTAGAGGTGTACAGTGAAAAACTATAGTACCTCAGACACCAGAGAGTAGTTCCTATTGACAATGACTGGCTATTTAATGATGACCATATATTTATAAATAGAGAATTTCTTGCTTTATTAATAACTATTCTTTGCCTATTTTGTTAATCATTTTCAAAGATAATTTTATTTAAATATGGACCATCTCTCACCTACAGTCTGTCTTCTCTAACTACATAAACTTGCAGCAAACACAATGCTAAATTAGAACTATTGCCTTAGCCACTGATTTAGGTCTTTGTGAAAACCTGAGGCAAGAGACGAGTTGTAAAGCAAAGCTCTCATTCAAGTGCACGTATTTGGAATTGTAGTAAAAAATACACAGCATAACTGGCAAAGTAAACGGCTTTGCAAATTTGCTCTCAAGTTTAATCCTATTATAAAGATTTCTCTTTAAAGTTCTTTTCACAGAATCTTTTTTGTTTGTGTAGTTTTAAAATATGAAAACACAAGAAATCGTAAGTGACATGTGTGAGAGTTGTTATATCTTACCGTAGCTGCTAAAAACCCAGTTTAGCTAAGACTATCCCAGGTTTGGGGAATTGATCCTGAGTATTTTCAGTCCTAGCCAATGTCCTGGATGCTGGGGTTGGCTGTAGCACTGCTGCACACCACCTCTTCAGCTGCTCAGACCTCTGTAATCAAGTCTTCTCTCCTTTTGCTGGCTGCCTCTAAGAATCAGCAGGTAGCTCCTGTCCCACCTGGCTCCATCTCAGCTGTTCTGAGTGGGAATTGAAGGCAGCTGCTCCTACTGAACGTAAGAGTTAATGCAGGTGCCTAGCTCAGGGAGGGTGGAGGGGGGGGGTGAAGAGAAGATCAGCCTTCTGCCTGTCACCTAGTTGGGAGGTTCCTGCACCTAGGTAGTTTGGCTCCCAGTCAACAGAAGTAGAAAGCTCTTCCACAAGGAGAGCCCAAGTGTAGTGTAATGGAGCAAAGAGTGAACTGGGCGAGAGTGAGAAAAGGCATAATTTTGAGATAAATTTGGATTATGGGATTCTAGCAGGCCCCAGCTACCTCTGTATTTTGGTGACGAATTGGTTGTTTTCTCTGCCTTTTTCACCCTTCTAAAAAAAATACATATGAGAACAAAATCTAAAATTTACCAGACAGCATACACAAATTTTGATTTAAATGAGAGATGAAGGCACACAACACCACTCAGGACTGGGCCCTAAAATACAAGCATCATATCAGAAAAAGCATCATTGGTTACTCAGTGATTCTGAGGGCAGGGCGTTGTTGACTGGCAACTTCTCAGAGCTAGCTTTTAAAAAACAAGCCCTTTCATGGGTATAAGATACATCAGACGCTGAAGCCCAATAGCAATGGTAGTGTTCACATTGTATTTGCTCAAAGGAAAATTCTGTTAATCACTAACAAGTAGTTCTAGCTGAGGGATATAAGCAAATATTAATATCCTGTAAGATTTCTACCACTAAAGAACAATAATTTATTCATTCATTCACCTGCTCTTGGAGTGTATACTTCAGATCACCTGTTTCCAGTAAGCCTGGTCTCCTGCCAGTGTTGCAGCCCGCTCTATATTAAGGCTGAGGCAGGCAAGGATGGAAGCCATGCCATCCCTCCAGCATATGCCATGTCCTCTCCATCCAGCTTTTGCTGGATCAAATGCATAAAGCTGGAGGGCTGGTATGAACTCCAACATATGGAACAGATGCCCAAGCTACCTGAGCTGGCATTGAGTCGCTCAGGAAGACATTGGAAGCTGGTTGGTCCAAAGCCTGACATCCTCATTCATAATGTGATGAAACCGCCATATGTCTTCAATACATCATTGCTGTTTCATGTTGAAAATGTCCAGCTGGCCCATTTGCATCTCTGCAGTGGCATAGGTTTCAGAGCCACACAAAAAGACAGAAGCCAGTGCTGTTTGATAGATACACATCTTATCCAAGTTGATATGTGGTGTTGATGCCACAGAGGCTTCCAGAGAGCTTCTACAACACCAGGAGCCTTGCTGATTTGATGTTTCATGTCAGCAAGACAACCACCTTCCTTGGTAACAATGGAACAAGAATGTCACATTTTTATGTCTGTCATGTACAGTCATTCCTGATGTCTGTCTGGCTAGGTAAGGCCCCTATCATCATAATATCTGAGTACCAAATAGTATTGAGGCATCTGTCCAATCTGTCTTATCTCACTGTCTGTCACAGGCATTTGTAAAGTGCCCATCACTGTAGAACCTAAATGTCTAATAGAGAAATGTAAAGGAATAATTTTTTCCAGTCCACAAATGATCTGTTAATTCTGTTCCTCCAACCAGAGGAAGAAAATCTTATGAAGTGTGTATGGTGTACGTGTTTGTAGGCATGTGTATGTGTGCATACCCTCTGTTGGGAGCAGGTCTTCTCAAAGACATAGTTGCATTTAGTTCTATAAGAGGAGAGATTGGGCTCACTCTGGTTTTAGGAACAAAGAAGGTGCCTCACATCCAATGGGCCTCAGCTGTAAACAACCTTTCCCTAGCTCCTGAAATAGTCTCCCTGGGCTCATCCAGCTCTTGTGTTCCTATGGCTAGAAGTATTTTTGGAGGATTATATAGAGTGAGACAGCTCTTCAGTAGCTCAGGTGTAGGATCTTAGCCTGAATGTGAAGTCCTATCAAGAGTCAGTGAATGGCATGAAGCACCAATGTGAAATAATATTGCTCAGGTGTCCTGTCAGGAGTTGGGCTACAACTTGCTGGGTCTGTGGACATTTTTGATAGATAGCATTTCCGTAAAGTGATAAAGGCCTATATCCCAGTGACCATATTCAGGTTCTTTTTAAAACACAATGCCATGCATGTGATACTAGAATGTGTAATAGTCATCTCAGCCAGTTGGGGCCTGACAACTAACAATAAAGGGGAAGACACCCTACTGGACAGTTGCATGTGTAAACACCTGACATGTGTGAATAAATGTGACAGTTGTGAGTTCAAGTTAAGCATGCACACACGTGCACTGGGATTTTAATATTTTGAAAATCAGAGCTTGTTTTGCGTTATTTCATTGTAACTATTTTTAAAGAATTTAGAAGCAAACATATTTACAATAAATAAATGCATCTTTAAAAAAAATCTGTTTAAATGTTTGTTCCTGCATTTCTAAAGGAACAGATCTGAGCAGGCAAGCTCTAATGGACACATTGGTACAACCTTAAGTTCAACTACCTACTCAATTCACCTCTAAAAGATATCCATAAAATGTAATGCTCTGAATGCATTCAGGAGTTCTGATGACATATACTTAGGAGCTAGATCTTCTTTTTCTTACACAACTGCAATTCCTATTGAGGTAGTAGGAGGTATGTGTGAGATGTAAAAACAAGCCTAAAATACCTCATCCCCAAAATACCCATTTCTTAAACTACAGGAGTGAAGCCTATCACTTCTATATAGCACAGGAGAGAGTGAACCACATTTCATTTATAAAGAGTCTAGCAATAATGTACATTCTTTTTAAAACTGAGGCTTCTTGTTCCTTGCTTTTCTGCTTCACACCCTTACCTTCGCATTTCACAACTACAGCTTTCAACAGAAGTATAACATGAATCCATTCTTCAATTGTTCTCTTTTATTATACAAAACTAGACGAAGGAGGTTTTTGATGCTCATAATTTTGTTTAGAGTTTTAAAAATAATTGCATGGAAAAAGAGACAGAAAATTGCAGCCTTGCCATCTTTTTAAAATTAAATTAATGATTGGATATTAAAAATGGATTTATCTTCTCAGATTCTCCACTCTATAATCTTTGTAGAACTCTCCAACTGTGGTGTGGCAGCCCAGCTCTGGAGATCTAAAGCCATGTGGTGGTGGGGGGATAGGACACATTGCCTTAGAGAAACCCTCTGAGAGCAAAGCTCAAGTGGTTTGTGATGTCAACAGACTCCCTTATTGTACTGCTTTCTCAGTTTTTGTTTACAAGATGCATTGATGCACCTTTTTTTGCTATAATATGCATTACACTCAAGCATCTCACAGTTGCCCATGTCCTGGTTGCCACCTTTCAAAGAAGTTTCATCTCACTATGTCCTTTCCCCTTCAATCTGCCCACACAGTTCCATTAATGTCAACCGGAGCTAAGTATGTGAAACGAGGTGTCCCTTTAAAGTGAGTGATCTAAGGCCTTGGCTACACTGGCGCTGTACAGTGCTGCAACTTGCTGCGCTCAAGAGTGTGAGAATGCCCCCCCCCCCCCCGAGCGCAGTGAGTACAGCGCTGTAAAGCGCGAGTGTAATCAGAGCCTGCAGCGCTGCACGCTCGCTCGCAGCGCTGCAAGCTATTCCCCTCGGAGAGCTACACTCGAGCTTCACAGCGCTGCCGTGGCCTAAGGCAGCCTTTGTTACATGATGAGAGTAAGTTTCACTGCCACCTTCATTTTATACTGATGTCAGATCCATGCAGATATTTTTTATGCAGCTCATCCTGCTGCCTTGATCATGGTCCTTCTGTCCCCTTCCCATGACTCCAGCATTCTTCATACAAGACCTTTATAAGGACAAAGGGGACAAAGGGGGAGGCAGAGATTCATACGGAGCACATTGCACTCCTCCTATGATGTGTTTTGTATTTCAGTGAATACTGATCCCTGTTGTGGCTAAGTACCTGACAACTGGGTATTGTCATGTGGTTGATGGTCTTACATGACCCTTTATTTGCGAAGGTATTCAGAGAACTTTGTGTGTACTTTAATGGGATATTGTTTTGTTTCTCTCAGGCCCAGATAACAGTGAATGGGAACTCTGGCACTCCTGCCAGTCCAATGAGTCACTTTCAAAGGCCTTTTTCCCCTTCTTCAGCTTACTCTCCACCAGCTTCACTCAATTCAAACATTATCATGCAGCATGGCAGGAAGATGGGTAAGCCTTTCAAATAATGTTTACTTTATACATCATGCAACATGTTCTGATTTGTGGGGCAAGGACTAAAACAGTTACGGAGCATTCCACATAAATAAAGGTATTATCTAGTCATGTACTTTGGGAAAATTACAAGCAACAACACAATTTATTGTTAGACACAATAACATTCCTAAACTGGATTTACTACAGTCTTATTACTTTAAAGCAAGATTCTTATACATATGTGAATGGCCTCTTGCAATCATTCCACTAGTTAGATTGAGAGTGAAATCATATATTAAAACTGCATGACTTTCAGATATTCCTGAATGTGGATCAAAATCCTCTTAGGTGTCCCTTATCCTCATTAAGGCATTAGGGTCCAGTTTTGCATGGTGCTGAGTTACTGGTCCCTAAATTTGCACTATCTTCAGTGGAAGTCATCTCCTCACAGGTTGTGAGGTCCTGAGATTTTAAAAGCTTAAAGCGTTGCCAAATAAAATTTCATATGTATTCTTTAGAGGGTCATAAGAATAGCATAAGAAATACATCCGAAGAAGTGGGATGTAGCCCACGAAAGCTTAGGCTCAAATAAATTTGTTAGTCTCTAAGGTGCCACAAGTACTCCTGTTCTTTTTATAAGAATAGATCGCACTTTACAAACATATAAGGACAAGATCTCTGCCCCATGGAATATAGTCTAAAATGATTTCTGTTTTCAAAAAAGCACATATAAGACCAAACATAATGTCTCTCCATTAATCTTTGTATGTGCAATCACGTGGGTTTTCCAGTTTTCTCATCAACATTTGCATATTCAGAATCTATATGCACAGAAACATTTGAATATGCATAATGAGTTTGCTCCTGTGTTACACAGGAGGTCAGATTAGATGACCAAAATTGTCCCTTCTCACCTTAAAATCTATGAATTGTATAAATGGTATATTATCTGTGTACAAGTGATAAGAGCAAAAATTGAGCACGTGTATCTGCACAGGCAAAAATACAGGTTCACTTAAAAACACCTGATCTCTGATTTAGAGATCTGAGTCTTTATTAACTATACTTCAGAAATTGTCCCTAGCCGGTCCTTTTTGAACATGATATTTAAGAGCATTATCTCAGGGTGGTTCTGAGTTTCTGAGACTTACAAAACAATGGCCAGATCTCACATTCCTTGTACACTCAAAAACCCTTTGATGCCAGCAGATTGGGCCCTGCAAGGAGCGTAAGATCGGATTTCAAAAGTTTTCTAAATTTATCATGTATATTTGAAAAAAAAGCCCAGATATTCAGACATTTGACACACACAGATGCATCTCACCAGGTATGTGTAGTACTGGATTATTTACAGGCTTTCAGACTAAATAACTGAAAAGGTTGTGTTAAATCCAAATTCTTTCCAATAAATAGGGAGAGAAAATATTCACATTACACTCAGAACTGCAAATCATCACAGTCTTCTTTGTTGCGTTATATCACAATTCTTCTAGTTAAACATTAAAGACTGTAACACCTATTGCATTGGAGGGAAATCATAGTCTCCACCAGCAGTGCCAGAAATCTAGCTTTATGCCTAATTTCAGCCATCTTGCAGCAGAAACATGGATACTACAGTACCTGCTGTTGCAAACCATGCTTAGATAGTCATAACTGCCCACTAATTAGCCACGGAAATCTGTTGCCTGAATGACTAGAGAATCTTATTATGTTTCTTCTGTATGCAAGATTACATCTAAGCACATCACCTTATGACAGTACAAGGCTTCATATGACATGTCCCAGCATCTTAACATTGTGTCTTTTTGTTAATGACTTGCTGTGAATTTTAGAGGTAGGTAGTAGTAGATAGTATTAATTTCAATAATTAAAAGAAGAGTTGGGGAGGGAGTTGCAAAATTATCCTCCGCACCAAAAACCGGTAGTAGCCTGCAGTTTTCACCTCAATGAATGTAGGTTGCTCATTGGCATGGCTGCTACGGGGAGAGGCAGAGTTATTGATGTACACATGGCATATTAATCATATAAAGCTATTTAAATAAAGGTATTAATATAAATGTAAGGATGAAAAGTATCTGTAAAAAACATAATAGACCTCATAATTCATCCGAGTTCCAAAGCTGGTAACATTAAAGGGAGTTTCCTGGGTAACTCACAGCATAAAAGCAGGATCCAACATATGTACTGAAAATCTCTGTGGAATGTTTGAGCAAATTCATTACTACACATGTAGAATAGAAATTGTTTTCAACTCTTCCATGCTTCTGGGAGCAGAAGAGTTCACATTACCGCAGAGCACTTGTTCATAGTATGGATGGCAAAGTGGCAAGCCTAGATTACAGAAAAAAAGTGTCTATTCCACTAGCTTCACTAAGACTTTTGTTTGTCTGTGTGTTTGTCTCTCTTCCCTCAGCCAGACCTTAAAAGCAGAAAAGCAAATTTTGTTTTCAAATGTTGTACTTTTTCTTTTCTTTTTTTAATCTCTCTTAACCTGAGAGATTTTGAGCTCAGCACAGTGGTTAATAAAATAATCCACATATGTGTAACTCCTTGAGTAGAAGGTTTTGCAGTGGAAATCCTACTAAACCCAGCTGCTCAGGCTAACGTGTAGTATTATCAGGTATTCTGTATGGATGTGATTATCTAATTTCCTTTAATGTTTGTACAGCACTTTGGAAATGTAAAGTGTGCTATAAGTGCTAAGTATGATTATTCTATCGTTATACAACATTCTGTCGCATTATCTTTACAGACTCCACAGAGACATACTCACAGTATGGTCAGTCTGTTGGCAGCAGCACCACTCCCAGTACAATACCAATCTGTAGATCTTCAGAGGAAGAGAAGAAAGTCACAGTCATTAGAGCACCACATTATGCAGGGATTGGCCCAGTAGATGAATCTGGAATCCCAACAGCAATTAGAACGGTAGGAAATGCCAGGGAGTGTGTGTTTGTGTGTGTGTAAGAGAGAGAGAGTAACAGAGAGAGAACTCAGACAATGAATTGATTGTTGGTAATGGGTTTTTCACATTCTTCTAGTCTTATATAATGTGGAATAGAGCGTGTGTAATCAGAGGGCTCATGAATATAATACTGTGTGTTGCAGGAAGCATAACTGGGCAACCCCATAGTTCTAGTTTTAATTATAAATAGTCAGAACTGCAGTTTTTGTTCTTGTTTCTATTATTTTCCCTGCCCTTTGTGGTGTTATGCTGTAATTTCATTTACTGTCTGTCTTGTCTTTCTAAACCTGCAAAGTTTGCTAATTTTTCCCATTAGCAAATAAACCTCAGGTGCCTATTTTTTTCCCCATGGCTACTGTATTGAAATTAACAGACTTGTTCCAATAATAACCCGTTTGACTGCTATCCCAATGAAATGCATCATGGACTGACCATGCTTTTTCATGATGTTTAAATGAGCAGCATGGAAACCCTCTCGTTGTGATTAGTCCAGTTTTGATGACTTGCCACTAGTCACTGCTTGAGCAGTCCCAGGATGTCAGACTGAAGGGGTTTGTTTTTACTATGCTGAAGCATTCTTTCCACGCTGCTGTCAGGGCAGCCCCTTCTGGCTGGTCCAGACAGTAGCAGTGAGTCTACGAAGGAGCAGCTCACTGGCCTTCCTGGCTGGAGGAGAGGTGTTGTGCTAGACGGAGAGAGTAAGAAGAGTGGGAGCCAGGATGAAAGCGGCAGAGCCCTTGCAGGTGAAATCTTTGTGAGGTGCAAGGATGTAGCAGCTGTTGGATATACTTTGCCTGCCAACACCGACATATGGGGTTGTGTAATTGCCAAGAGCTGCTTCACTGGATTGAAAAATTAGGGGGAAAACAGGAATTGATGGAGAAAAGCAATAGGAAAGATTGCAGAATAAGTGGTAAGACTGGGATATTTTGAGTAAGGTGGGGGGAGGAAACTCTAGCATTTCTTGCTTTCCTTTCCTTTGATTTCGGCATATACAAATGATACAATAGAAAGCTTTTAAAAAATGAGTAACTCGCATTAGAACTAAGCTATAGCTTCCCATTCCTGCTAAGCAGACAGCCCTGCCTTTTGTGTAGGAAGTTATTGTTTTATTGTGCTTTTTTAAGAATAGCAGATTGATTCCGTAGGGTGGATATTAGTTATATAAGAGTATAACAGAAATCCCCCAAGTGTATTTAATGTGGCTGGCAAGCTGCCAACAGTGTATTTAACTTCCAGATCTGATAGTCTCAGTCTCTTAAGATTTTCTCTGAAACTCATGTATGCCATTTGGATTTTTTTTTTTTCCAGTTTGGGATTGCTTTCTTTTCAGCTCTGTGCTGCTGCATCAAAACCTTATGCAGCTTGTAATATTACTGTTATGTAAATGAGGCTCATGACCAGAGTGAGTTAAAAGTTATGGTCTGCTAGGAATATACCATGTAAGTAAGAGAGAGAGAGAGTGTGTGTGTGTGTTGCCACTTTCCTCACACCCCACTGGAAATGAGATTCAGTTCTCAAGGTACTGATCTGAGCATACACTTTAAACAGAGTGAGGCTGATGTGTAGATCTGAGCATATCCCAGCAGTGAGAGACTGAAGGTGGTGGTGTTGTCAGCAAACATGCTGCACCATCCCATCCCTCAGAAATGTAGCACCATCCAGGAACATACAGAAGTGCCACAGCAGCGTTTTCAGTGAACAAGGGAAAATAGGAGAGTAGCAGTTGCTCTGTTTTCCGAGGGTCATTGGGCACCCAAATATCCAGCTCACCCTTCAGTCTTCTGTTGGAGGGACCTGAGTGTTTCAGTTCAGCTCATCTCAGCAATACAATGAAAGTTTCCAAGTTTCTTGTACAGATTAAAAAGACAGTTGCCTGCAGAGTGCAGAAAAGGTGAGTTCCAGTGTGGTAGAGAACATTAAAAAGGTCTGCCCCAAGCCACAGATGGCTCATCACACTGACATGGTTTAATGCATGTCTGTATCTGTTTCCATAGCTAACAGTACACAAGGGAGTTATGTGACTAGCCTTGCATCCAACCGTCTTTGACTTCCTTAACCCTATGGTTAGAAGTTGTCCAATAAAAGATATTATCTCACCCACCTTATCTCTCTAAGCCTGTGGATCAGGTATCCATTTTGTAGCTGGGTGAACTTGAGGTAGTCTTTCAGTGTGAGTTTGAACCCACAATCTCCAGGATTGTAATCAAGCACCTTGACCACTCAGCCACTGCACCTCATTGTAAATAACATAACTATTGCATATTGAGACACACTGCTGCACAAAGAGAGGCTTTCAAATGAGAGTTTAGAAACAAACTTTTTTTGCAGCATGTAACGCTGATGATCTCCTCCCGTTTTTCCTTTACGCTCCCAGTCCTCAAAGGTCAGTGCTGGCCTGCCAAGAAAGGCTGGCTGGAGCTGTCTTCAAAATCCATCCTTAACATTTCTCTCTCTCAAACTGGAAGCAGTCATTGAAAAGTTCTCCTTACTTCCAGCATCTGAGCTTGTTGCCTTGATAGTATTTCAGCCCCTGCCAAACCAGGAAGCACGGGAGTAAGCCAAAGTCTGGCACTCAGACCCTTGCAATACGACCAAACTACCAGCATAGCCCCAGGCATTTTGAAGTGCCAGGGCAGAAAAATTTGACTTTGGAAGTGAATGATCAAATTGTAACTCTCTCAGAAGAGTTTTCAGTCAAATTGTCAGCTGTGATTTTAATCCAGTTTTCAAATTTTCCAGCTAGTTTGGGAGCAAAATAGTATCTATACTATGTTATTGCTAAGCCTTTGAATCTTTACAAAGATGAGGAAAAACAAGATAGCTGTAAGAATCTAATCATGTATGTCCTCAAATTTGAGCATTAGCTATGTTGTTGGAGATCTGTTTCTTCAGCTTCTATAAAATACCAATATTTGGGAATAAGAATTCACAAACACAAAATGCAATTTTTCTGTGTCAGTAAGGGCAGGTCTTCACTACGGGGGCTGTTGATTTAAGATACGCAAATTCAGCTACGCGAATAGCGTAGCTGAATTCGACGTATCGCAGCCGACTTACCCCGCTGTAGGGACGGCGGCAAAATCGACCTCTGCGGCTTCCCGTCGATGGCGCTTACTCCCACCTTCGCTGGTGGAGTAAGAGCGTCGATTCGGGGATCGATTGTCGCGTCCCGAGGGGACGCGATAAATCGATCCCCAAGAGGTCGATTTCTACCCGCCAATTCAGGCGGGTAGTGTAGACCTAGCCTAAGAAACAGAACTTTTAAATCAAGCGGTAAGTGAATTTAGGCTATTTTCCTAAATACAGTAGTAAATATTATATGTGCAGTATCAATTGTATCCACAAGCAGAAATTAAAGTGGTACTGTACTAGACATCGCTAGATTTAAATACCATTACTATGGATCTAACCAAGAAAAAAGTCACTAAAATGTAGTGTGACTGCATATTTTTTAATCACAGTATCCAAAATAATTGTTTCACAGTTAACTATCAAATTATTCTGAATACTAAAGAGGCCTTTCTTTTGTGTGTAAATAATAAAATGCAGTCTGACCAGATTTCTTTTCCTTTCGCAATGATGTAACATTCCAGCTAGAACTGATTTCTTTTAATGGATTTTACCCACTGATAATTAGGAAACATTTTAACACAAAGCACTATTTAATTATGGGTTGCTTCATACGTGAAATAGAATGTAGGGCAAAATGAAAAAAGCTCCACTGAGAATCATAGATGCCTGCTTTAATTGTGCACTGTCTGATGGATTGTTACAACACTGAAAATGACTATAGAGTCTCTCAAGTACTACTTGCAGATTTTTCTTTTCTCTTTTACTATCTTTTCCCTGATTATTCATTCAAATATAATAACTTGTCTCACCATTTAATTGCAATAAATGTAGTCCATGTGAATCAGCATGGTATCTAAAATGACCAGATGCATGGGTGAACGTGGATAATTCCCAGTGTAATGGATGGCTTGTGGAGTTAGCTAATATAACTTGAAATACTATATTTTAAAAAACTGATTTATCCCTCCGCAACTCATTTAATATTGCCCAAAACACAGGGTCAGAGAATTGAAGGGCAAAACCTGCTCAAGTACACAAAAATATGTTTGGGAGAGGAGAACTGAAACTTAATGATATCATGCTTCTCTTCCCATCCCCTCCCCGCTCTGTTGGCCCTGTGAAAGCCTCTCCACATGTATTCTGCATGATTGGATTTCCATAGATTTGGAGGGGATGTGACTGTCAGCAAGGGAATTGGGCCTGGAGACATCTATGCACCTTCATTCTCTGGCAAACTGTGAGGACATAACCATAAGGATTAATGTTGACACTTTTGCATTAATTCCCATAGATTTTCACCACCACCCATCCAAACTCAGTTGAAGGATCATTTCTGGCCCATCACAAGCAGGGAGACATTGGTAGGATGGATCCAATGGCTTCTTCATAAATCAAGCTCAAGCCCTCCCCAGAGTCTTGCAAGCACAGAGCTATAACCAACCCTTGGGAATTAATGTTAACAAGATCAGAATTACTCTCTGTGAGTTTGCAGATTGGGATTGGAGGGAGGATAATGCCACACCGAGCAGCTTTTCCTTGAGCATCTCCACTCCATGCAAACCAACCATCCCAAATCTCAGGTCAGATAAACTCCCTGCACTCAGAGGTGGGGCAGAGGTTACTGCTGCTTAGGTTCAACTCCTTTCCCTCCAACAGATTTCTGGCCTTTTCAGTTGAGTGTTTGCTCTTTTCATCTCCAGGTCAAAAACAGGAGAGACTGATTTGGCCTATTGTATACAGTGGTATTTTATGCCATAAATTCGCAATTTTGTGAGACCTAAGATTTTTTTCACAAAAAGTCTTGCAGACAAGTTTTTTGATAGGGAGCAGTTTCTGTCCAGTTACTTACAATGATAGCTCCTCAAAGTGCAGTTTTAGGGGTTAACAAAATAGAAGAGTTAAATATAAGGTAATGACTGTAGCAAGGAGCATTTAAAACAACAAAAAAGTGCCTCTTTTAACATAGGTAAGCAAACTGCTCTTTAAAATATTTATTAGTGACGTAGAAAAGATGGTGAACAGTGATAAATATTCAGATGTCCAAATTCTGTAGGTTAATTTGGACTAGAGAAGACTTTGGGGAACTTCAGCGGGTGAATGTGAATGGGCACCATGATAACAGATAAAATTCAACAATGGCAAATGCAAAGTAATGCGCATTGCAAGGTATATATTGAACTTTTTGTATATATTGTGATAATCTAAATCTAATATTGTGATAATCTAAATTGATTATCACCACTCATCTAACAATGTGGGCTTCATTGCGGACATCTGAATAAAAAGCTCTGCTCACTGCTCAGCAATGGTCACCAAAAGCAAACAAAATGCTAGGATATAAAAAGAACAGGATAGAAAATACTCTTGAAAACATTATTTTGCTATTATATAAATCCGTGATCTCTCCTCACCTACAATACTGTTTCAGTTCTGGTCATCCTATCTCAAAAAAGATATTGCAGAAATAAAAGGGGTTCAAAGATGGGTGGTGAAAGTAGTTAGAGGCCTGGAGAAATTTCCATAAGAAAAAAGATTGAAAACATTGAGACTATTCAGTTTCCAAAGGAAATGTCACAGAGGTGTACCAAATAATGAGTGGTATTCAGAAGGTAAATTGAATGCTCCTGCTTATCCTTTCTCCTGATACAAGGACCAGGGGAAATTCAATCAAATTAAAAGGCAACAGATGTAAAACTGATAAAAGGAAATAATTATGCATTATGTAAAAATAGTAACATATGGAACTCATTGCCACAAGATGTCATGAAGGTCAAATTCCTAGTAGCATTAAAAAAAGACGTTTATACAGGTAATGAAAATTTCCACAGCTGCATTCAGTAGCAATTTTATTTTAAGATAATTTCGTGTTCACCACTAACTGCCTGGAGTTAGGAAGAAATGTTTCCTGTGGGCTGGTAATTGCCTACTTTTAGGTTTCTTATACTTTCCTATAAATAGGGCCCTAACAAATTCACTGTCCATTTTGGTTAATTTTGTGGTCATAGGATTTTTAAAATTGTAAATTTCATTATTTCATATATTTAAATCTGAAATTTCACAATTTTGTAACTGTAGGGGTCCTGACCCAAAAGGGGTTTGGGGGGGGGTTTACAAGGTTATTGTAGGGGGGTCGCGATATTGCCACCTTTACTTCTGTGATGCTAGCGGTGGCTCCACTGTCTTCAAAACTGGGCTGCCGGAGAGTGGTGGCTGCTGGCCGGGAGCCCAGCTCCAAAGGCAGCGCCGTCCCCAGCAGCATCGCAGAAGTAAGGATGGCATAATATGGTATTGCCACCCTTACTTCTGCACTGCTGCTGGCAGAGAGCTGCCTTCAGATCTGGGCGCGTGGCCAGCAGCCGTCACTCTCCGGCCACCCAGCTCTAAAGGCAGCGCAGAAGGGTGACAATGTTGCGACACCCCTACAAAAACCTCGCAACCCCTCTGTGGTCCCGTTTTGGGTCAGGACCCCCACTTTGAGAAACACTGGTGAAATCTGTATAGTATAGGGCAGATGTTCACAAAAGACCAGATTTCACGGTCCGTGATGCGTTTTTCATGGCTGTGAATTTGGTAGGGTCTTACCTATAAAAGCATCTGGTACTGGCCACTGTCAGAGGCAGGGCATTAAATAGATTGACCACTGATCTGTTATGGCAATTCCTATATTCTTAAATATTGTCTTTGTATCTAAGAGCAGATTCCAAACTCTGAAAGATATTTAGGGCTGAGTCAAAGATTCATAGGAAACCTTGCAGCTGTACAGTGAATGAGAAAGAGTGTGTGTGGGAGGGATCAATAAGGGACTGACCACAATGGGCCAAATTCATCCCTACGGAATCTCTTTACAAGTCAGTGGAATTACAGCAGGGATGAATTTGATCTAACATGTCACCACTGACCTTTTTGTTTCTTTAGCTAATTGTTGTAAACTGTATTTTATTCAGACAGTTGACCGGCCAAAGGATTGGTATAAGACAATGTTCAAGCAAATCCATATGGTTCACAAGCCTGGTAAGTATACATTTTTCTGTTTGTTACATAACTCTTAGTGGCATTAAGAAATGCACTTTCCCTGCATTCTGGTGGCTTGCTCGCTGATCATAACAAAGCTTATGATCACTGAGTTGTAGATACTGAATAGAGCCCAATGGGAATTTCTCCAAGCTAAGTTGGTGTGATAAATGTTATTACAGCAGAAGTGTTTTTCCAGCAAAAGGCTACGTACTTTTCTGATGGACTTATTTTTATTACTAACAAAAAATAAAGGAGAAAAGCCTATCTGATCATGTACAGCACAAGAGGTCAGTGAGATGTTCTGAGCAGCAAGGAACTTTGCCTGCACTCATCTTCAGTCTGAGTGACCAGGACTTGGCTGGGTGAAGGGTGGTCATTGCTACCTTCTATTACAGAGCCCCTGTGCGCTAGGTCAGGGAAGCCTACTGAATGAGAAAATACGCTGCCCCTACTTATTTTCCTCTCTCCTCCTGTTAATTTGTAAATAAATTATTTTTTGAAGAAAAGGATCTTCTGACATATTATTAGTCTTATTAATAATAATATTTTTGCGTATTCTCCCTTTCATCCAAGGATGTCAAGGCACTTTACAACAATAATTATGCTTCATTATACCTCAGTGAGGGAGGGAGTTGATATTATTCCAATTTTACTGATGGGGAAATTGATGTAGCTAGGTTGATTTGCTTATGGTCATACACGACATCAATGGCAGAATCAAGAATGGAAAAACACCAAAATGATGTCTGCCAGTCCCCTGCTGTAGCCACTGGACAACATTACTAGATGTAAGAAGTTGCTTTTCATAGTAGGAATGATACGTTACTGTCCTCTAATAAGGGGAAACAGACAGGAGAGGAAACAGCTGGGAGGAGATGAGGGTTGAATAGAAAAGAATGAGTATAACTCACAATTTGGGGTGAACCAGTAACTCTGCAATCTGGGTGTCATGGCAATAATATGCCATTCAGAATAGGTTGATAAAAATAGCCCATGATACGTGTAAAGGGCAAAGACAGACTCCAGAAAACATGTACATGAGGGCTGAGAGCTGATAGTCTACTAATCTTCTGTTTGTATTTGCAAAGACAAAGCTGCTTGTTATGAAATACTGACAGCTAATGCACTACTGTAACATATATATTTCTCTTTATAGATGACGGCACAGACATGTATAATGCTGCATATGCATATAATGCTGGTAGGAGTTATTCCTTCACTTCCAATGAATCTTTTCTTAGTGTCAGCGAGCAACAATGGTAGCTAACCACTCAGGCCTGCTCTTATTAAGTTTGTCATCATTGTCATCAAATGTCATTATTCTTTTTGATCTCTGTTTGTGTCTTTGTTCACCAAATGTGGCAAAGCCTCATTTTGGTTTATTTCTTACTACAGAATTAATCAGACATGTACTGCAGATGTGGCCCTCTCAGTGCAGATGGGATATACTGTAATGTTGTAATCTCTGACTAAATTATATTTATTTTCACTAATGATAGTGTATAGTTTGACTCTTGAATATTAAACTAAAGAGTAAAGTGCAGTATGAAAGTGTTAAGTGTAATTACATATACAGGTGAAGATAAGCATTGTGCAGTTTGTTGTATACAACTGCCATATTTTTAGATTATACTACATTAAGAAAACCTAGTTATGATGCTTCTATTTTGTGATCTTGTTATTTTTTTATACTGAATTGACATTATTTAGCACCAAAAAAGTAAAATATTATTCCTATAACAGATATATAAATTTCAAATCTTTCAGAAGAAAGAAATCATACTGCAGTGATATTTTACTAGAACAAAAACTCCTTATCATGTGAATGAAATGTACAATACAAAATATTGTGTGTTATGCAAAAAGCACTTTTAAGAGTTCTTTAATTTAAATTTTCATATTGCTTTCAATGGGGCTCCCATGCTGATATTTTGTGTGTTATCAAGAACATGTGTGTATATCCAAGATTCATGACCCAAATGGACTCTTGAGAGCTTAGTCAAGAAATTTGTATGGGTAATTGTCCACAAATCTAATTACGTAGAGATGCTCTTACATACAAACCCAAAGAACGTTCATTAAAAAGAATGAAAAAGGTGTATCTATTTCTTTTTCCTTCTCAGCCTATGACACCAATAACAGCTGAGGGCAGGATAGTTCTGGGGGACTAATAAGAGGTTGCAGTTAATTGCCATGAGCTGCACCTCAGACATTATCTCCCCCCAGCTTGTGATTAATTCCCATGGAATGTCCTGAGCCTTTGTGGGTGGGGCAGGGAAGAGGGGCCATATATAGATCTATAATAATTATTTGAAAATTCACACAATACTCACCGATGTGTTTCTAAAACTTACAAGGTTTTGATGTCCCAGATTTGTTAAATGAATGTTTGGTATTTTACTGAGATGCATTTTGGTTGTTTCTGTGTTCTGTTTTACTTTAGGTAGTTACAGCCCATCCCTCCCCGCTCAGTCACACCCTGCTGCAAAGACACAGACATATAGACCATTGTCTAAAAGCATTTCTGACAATGGCACTGATGCCTTTAAGGTCTCTTCCCCGATACCTCCTCCACATGTACCACCTCCAGTCCCACCGCTTCGTCCAAGAGAGAGGTCTACACCCGAAAAGTAAGCAGATTTACTGGGAGCGGGAAACAGTCTATAGTAAATACAACATTACAATCAACTAATAAAAGTAATGGATGTAGAAGTAGCATGAGAGAGTTGGGTTTGTGATCACCAGGAGAACTGCATAGTGAATTGCCTGGCAGATGCGAAGGTTGCGGTCCTCTTGAGACATATAGAAAGATTTATATGTAGTGCCGGGTAGGTGCTGGTGGTCGTGGTACATGTAGATACTAATGACATAGGAAAAGGAGGATAGAGGTCCTGGAAGCCAAGTTTAGTCTACTAGGTAAGAGATTAAAGTCCAGGACCTCCATGGTAGCATTCTCTGAAACGTTTCCAGTTCCACCCGCAGGGCCGGTTAGACAGGCAGAAGAACTGTGGGGTGTCAATATGTGGATGAGATGATGGTGTTTGGAGGAGGGATTTGGGTTTATTAGGAACTGTGGAACCTTTTTGGAAAGGAGCAGCCTGTACAGGAAGGATGGGCTCCACCTAAACCAAAAGACCAAAGACAGGGTAGGCCCACTGCTTAGTGAAGAGGGAGAAACAGTAACAGGAAACTTGGAAATGGCAGAGATGCTTAATGACTTCTTTGTTTCGGTCTTCACCGAGAAGTCTGAAGGAATGCCTATCCTAGTGAATGCTAATGGGAAGGGGGTAGGTTTAGCAGATAAAATAAAAAAAGAACAAGTTAAAAATCACTTAGAAAAGTTAGATGCCTGCAAGTCACCAGGGCCTGATGAAATGCATCCTAGAATACTCAAGGAGCTAATAGAGGAGGTATCTGAGCCTCTAGCTATTATCTTTGGAAAATCATGGGAGACGGGAGAGATTCCAGAAGACTGGAAAAGGGCAAATATAGTGCCCATCTATAAAAAGGGAAATAAAAACAACCCAGGAAACTACAGACCAGTTAGTTTAACTTCTGTGCCAGGGAAGATAATGGAGCAAGTAATTAAGGAAATCATCTGCAAACACTTGGAAGGTGGTAAGGTGATAGGGAACAGCCAGCATGGATTTGTAAAGAACAAATCATGTCAAACCAATCTGATAGCTTTCTTCAATAGGATAACGAGTCTTGTGGATAAGGGAGAAGCTGTGGATGTGGTATACCTAGACTTTAGTAAGGCATTTGATACGGTCTCGCATGATATTCTTATCGACAAACTAGGCAAATACAATTTAGATGGGGCTACTATAAGGTGGGTGCATAACTGGCTGGATAACCGTACTCAGAGAGTTGTTATTAATGGTTCCCAATCCTGCTGGAAAGGCATAACGAGTGGGGTTCCGCAGGGGTCTGTTTTGGGACCGGCTCTGTTCAATATCTTCATTAACGACTTAGATATTGGTATAGAAAGTACGATTATTAAGTTTGCGGATGATACCAAACTGGGAGGGATTGCAACTGCTTTGGAGGACAGGGTCATAATTCAAAATGATCTGGACAAATTGGAGAAATGGTCTGAGTTAAACAGGATGAAGTTTAACAAAGACAAATGCAAAGTGCTCCACTTAGGAAGAAAAAATCAGTTTCACACATACAGAATGGGAAGAGACTGTCTAGGAAGGAGTACGGCAGAAAGGGATCTAGGGGTTATAGTGGACCACAAGCTAAATATGAGTCAACAGTGTGATGCTGTTGCAAAAAAAGCAAACGTGATTCTGGGATGTATTAACAGGTGTGTTGTGAGCAAGACACGAGAAGTCATTCTTCCGTTCTACTCTGCTCTGGTTAGGCCTCAGCTGGAGTATTGTGTCCAGTTCTGGGCACCGCATTTCAAGAAAGATGTGGAGAAATTGGAAAGGGTCCAGAGAAGAGCAACAAGAATGATTAAAGGTCTTGAGAACATGACCTATGAAGCAAGGCTGAAAGAATTGGGTTTGTTTAGTTTGGAAAAGAGAAGACTGAGAGGGGACATGATAGCAGTTTTCAGGTATCTAAAAGGGTGTCATAAGGAGGAGGGAGAAAACTTGTTCACCTTAGCCTCTGAGGATAGAACAAGAAGCAATGGGCTTAAACTGCAGCAAGGGAGGTCTAGGTTGGACATTAGGAAAAAGTTCCTAACTGTCAGGGTGGTTAAACACTGGAATAAATTGCCTAGGGAGGTTGTGGAATCTCCATCTCTGGAGATATTTAAGAGTAGGTTAGATAAATGTCTATCTGGGATGGTCTAGACAGTATTTGGTCCTGCCATGCGGGCAGGGGACTGGACTCGATGACCTCTCGAGGTCCCTTCCAGTCCTAGAATCTATGAATCTATGAAAATGGAACCAGATTACTGACATGTAAAATTAAAAAGGTTGTAGATGGCTGGGAGAAAGCTGACCGGTGCGGAGGATCACATGAATCAGACAGACACACTCTTAGGAAGGGATTTATTAAAGGGCATATTCTGTATCCTAGTAAAGGGGACTGGATAGAAGTTGATAAAGTACGGGCGGGAATTGAAGAGAAATAGTCAAATGAAAAAGAGTCCCATTCAATTACATCACATGAAGGGAGATGACTAAATATTGCCAATTTTTATATTTTTATATTCCCACACTTAAGCCACTCTTTTTAGGTGACAAATCTAAGGAACTTGAGGTGTCAAGAGAAGAGGTTTTGGAAAAAATTGATAAATTAAACAGTAATAAGTCACCAGTCCAGATGTTAGTCACCCAAGAGTTCTGAAGGAAATCAAATATGAAATTGCAGAACTGCTAACTGTGGTAGTTTACTTATTGCCTCTGTACCAGATGACTAGAGGATAGCTAATGTAACGCCGGTTTTTAAAAAAGACTCTAGAGGTGTCAAAGTTTGCAGATGATACAAAATAAATGTATATAGTTAAGTCCAAAGTTGACTGTGAAGAGTTAGAAAGGGATCTCAAAACTAGGTGACTGGGCAAAAATATTTCAGATGAAATTCAGTGTTGATAAATGCAAAGTAATGCATATTGGAAAACATAATCCCAACTATACATACAAAATGATGGGGTCTAAATTAGCTGTTATCACTCAGGAAAGAGATCTTGGATTCATTGTGGATAGTTCTCTGAAAACTTCTGCTCAATGTGCAGCGGCAGTCAAAAAAGCTAACAATGTTAGGAACCATTAGGAAAGGGATAGATAATAAAACAGAAAATATCATAATGTCACTATAAATCCATGGTACGCCCACACCTTTAATACAGTTTGCAGATCTGGTTGCCCTATCTCAAAAAAGATGTATTAGAATTGAAAAAAGTAAAGAGAAGGTCAACAAAAATTATTAGGGGTATGGAACTGTTTTCATATGAGGAGAGATTAAATGACTAGAACTGTTCATCTTAGAAAAGAGATAGCTAAGGAGGTATATGATAGCGGTCTATGAAATTGTTAATGGTATTACCAAATTTGAATAAGGAAGTGTTATTTACCCCTTCACACAACACAAGAACCAGGGGTCACCCGATGAAATTAATGGGCAGTAGCTTTAAAACAAACATAAGGAAGTATTTCTTCACACAACTCCCAGTCAACCTGTGGAACTTGTTGCCAGGGGATGTTGTGAAGGCCAAATCTATAACAGGGTTCAAAAAAGAATTAGATACATTCATGGAGGATAGATCCATCAGTGGCTATTAGCCATGATGATCATGGACACAGCCCCATGCTCTAAACGTCTGACTGCCAAAAGCTGGGACTGGACAACAGGACATAGATCATTTGATAAACTGCTGTTTTCTGTTCATTCCCTGTGAAGCCCCTGGCATTGGCCACTGTCGGAAGACAGTCACTGGACTAGATGGACCATTGGTCTGACCCAGTATGGCCATTCTTATGTTCTTATGAAAACAAGGCCATGACTCAGTGGGGCATTCAGATATTAAATGATGTTATTGCTTCAGTGTGGGCACTGTGCTTGATGCTGTCTTGTCTGGCACTGGTACTTAAGCAGCCTAGGAAGTCTCATGCCAATAATACCTTATAAAGCATATTGAACATCCACTCTTTTCCATGGGACTATCCTGCCTCCTGTATTTCAGAATGATCCAGACTGCAATGACCATTTCTCACTATGACTTTGTGCTAATGCATAAAAGTAGTTTTGAGACCTTGGGTACATCTGCACTCCAAAAAATCACCAGTGGTGGCAAGTCTAAGAGCCTGGGTCTACAGACTCTGGCTCGCCAGGCTCACACTGCAGCATTAAAAATAGCTGTGTAGATGTTCCCATTCAGGCTGGAGCTTGGGTTCTGAAATCAGGTGAAATGGGTGGGACTCAGAGCTCCAGCCCAAGCCCAAATGTCTACATGGCTATTTTTAAGCCCCATAGCACAAGCTGTGGGAACCCAAATCTGTAGACCCAAGCTCTGAGACTTGCTGCCGCGGGGTGGTTTTTTTTTTCTTTTTTCTTCCCCGCGTAAACATACAGAAAGCCCTTTTATGAAGCCTCCTAGCAGAGAGCAGGATGTAAGTGATTTTGCAAATTGCAAGCAAAATTGTAACAGAGTACAGTAAGTGGACCAGCCCCATCTGAGATGTTTGTGTGGCACATCTTTGGAGACATGATGAGGAAAATTCCACATCCTCCTCCCACTTCCCTATCTCTTCTTTTGAAGTAGAAGAAGGGTTTCAGATTGAAGGGACTTGGGCATTTTGCTAACTATATAATTTAATCAGTATGTATTTATGAAAGCTTTGTCCAGTGACTAAAGCATTTAGCATTTACCTACACAATTAAAGTTTCTTTAAGTTTTACTGGATTTGTATGTATGATCAAATAAATGCTTCTGATGGTCACCAGCATTTTAACCACGTGTCATCTCAACCTGCTCAGAGCTGGTACACCCAATACAGTGGTAAAAATACTGGTTGTACCCTGTCTACGTTACCACTCCCACCATTGCTATGACATATGGAACAGCAGCAGTGGGAAATGTATATCAATAATTGATATCAATATCTATAATAATATTGTGAGGAGATTTAGTCATGTTTGCTACTTTTAAAGTACATTTCAAATGCATAAAAACCTCTCTATATAGATTTCAGATTTACTGTGGAACAAACATTACACTAGCATCCCCACTATTGCTATCACCAGTAAAACTGCACCAGTGTTAGCAATAGTAGGAAAGAAAAAGGCTAGTGTAGACACAGGCATAGATACATGGAGTAAATTAAGGGGGATAAGCTTTGCTTAATTCATAATTCCTTCCTTTTGAGGGTTATGTCTCTGTCTTAATATTCTATTCATGCATTTTGGGTCAAATCCTGTTCACTTTCCTCTTGTGAATAGCCCCTTAAAGTCAGTGGACTAACTGTGTGAGTGAGACAAGAAGGATTTTATCTCTAGTATGTACTAAAAATGTAGAATAAAATCAACATCCAGTAGACTAAAATCTGCATGTTTTCTACTGTTGCGTAACCTGGTGAGGTTGGTTGTAACTTTCATGATTGAGGTTGGGAAGAGAGAGCAAATTGTATGGTGCAGTGTAACTCCTGACATATGTAGATGCCTTTTACAGAGCTGCAGTGTTGATGGAAAAGACAATCTTGCACAACTGTTTATATTTGTTATTTAGAAATGACTGGGATCCTCCTGACAGAAAAGTAGATACCCGCAAATTCCGTTCTGAACCAAGAAGTATTTTTGAATACGAGCCGGGGAAATCATCAATTCTTGAACATGAAAGACCGGTAAGAGGTGTATTTGAAACATTTTCCCACAACAAAAGGCTTAGTGGGAGTTACATTTTTGCTTATTATTTTAACTGCAAATTATAACTAGTTAGTATTGAATATCCATTTTTGTATTTGGAGTTTGGTCAGCTCACGTGGTAAATTCTGCCTTGATCCTCCTGGATGGTTGTGTAGATAATTTGGGATTGGCTTGATTTACTTGTTCAATTTAGCTTCTTTGGCATTAGAAAGAAGTCAAAGAATCACTGTGAGAAATTAAACTCCTTTTAGATTTCACATGTTAGATGTAAGTTCATGGAAACTACTTGTTGCAATTTGAATGCATATCCAGCAGTCAGTTTGTCACCTGTTTACAATAATTTTATCAACACATATGATTAACATAGGAGTTATGCACATGGCTGTGGTGGTATGTCACTAGATAGTCCAGAAAAAAAAATCCTACAGTGTGTTTTCTGGATATGTGCCTAATGGTATCATCTCAAGAACATTGGTTGCCTGTACACTAACCTGTGACTAAAAAAAATTTATTGCTGTTTTCTGAGCATATGTCTGTAGTTGTGATATTCCTCACAAGCATGTCTAATAAGGCTGAAATCTAATGCTTGCAAAATTATCACTAATCTAAGTTTCCATTCACTGAAAAGGCATATGCAACCAGCTCTTCTACTGTACCCTGGTAGTGTTCCAATACCCCATCATTTATGCAGCTTGATGCATATCATGTTATCTTTTTTGCACGAGATGGAATGGTTGATGGAGTCATGTTTAAAGGGGGAATTTATGTAAATATTATACGTAGTATTATAATATTAGTATTACAATATTATATCAGTATTATATTAGTATTATTATACATAAATTCAGAGGGCTTATTTTATTAATCTAAAAATAAATAAATGTATTGCATGCATGGATTGTGGCATATATAGTATGTCAACAGTATGTTAAATAATTACACTGATGGCTCTGTTTCATCATATTTTTCTATGCTTTATGTAATAATGTGGGTCCGGTTACCTAGCTTCTATAGCAAACTGTGTGATTCTATGAAATAGGGCTCTTACAGAACTGGGACTTTCTTTCAAAGGGAAATTTCACTTTTCAGCACAGGCCATTTAAACTGACTGAACTAATTAATAGTTCTAATGATTTACCAAAATCTCCCTGATTTATGAGAGCTGGTAGTTTATTGTCAAGCTGAATTTACAAACAGTTCTGTGAAAAAATAATTATATTTTTGCTAAGTGATTTTTCTATCACAGTGGCTCTATTACAGATAGGGCCATTTACTAACCTTTTCAATTGCAAACAATCTTCAGCAAGTGAGAGGTGGGAGGCTGAAGGTAAAAATTGGCTTTTTGAAAATTACAGAGCTATTTCATGTGAGGACACACATCTCTAATAAATTTTGACTTTGTGATATGAAAAATAAACAACAAGAGTAATTTCATACTGGACCTGCAATGCTGAGGAATGTGATAATATAATTTTTCAACTTTAATAAAGAGATAAGATGAAATAAGTTGTGATTTTTTTGCTAAAAATATTTGAACATTGCTGGAAATTTCTTAAGCAAATAAAATAAGCTTTTCCAGTAGAAAAGCTTTCTTGTTTTCTGATTGGATGGGGAGGACTTGGGGCCTAATCCTGCAACCTTTTCTTCCACAAGTAATCCTTACTCACTGATACAGACACTTTGCAGTCAATGAACTACTCCAAAAGGTTGCAAGATCAGACATGGCTGATGTAGTTACAAGCAATCATCTCTTTGCACAGCAAGTGTTCTCAAAGTGCGAAAGTGGAACTACAGTATTAATAAATTCAGGGGAGGGGAACGTTTCAATGCTATGTATTTCAATTTTCAAAATGGTAATGAGGAATTTATGCAAAATACAGTGTGCTGTTCCTAAGATGGCTTCCTTTTGAGCAGTTTCTAAATCCATTAACACAGTGCTAAGCTATCAGCATAACATCAGTTTAGAAATTTCCAGAGAGTAACTGCTATTGATTATAAAAGTTAAGTTACATGAAGTAATATATTGCTTTTCTGGCAGAATTACAATATTAATGGACGAAGGAAAGGCAGTATGCAATAATTAAATCTAAATATATTGTATAAAGCATTGTATACTGTATTCATTAAATCTTACATGGCAAATTCAATTGAAAACTGGCTAAAAGACTAGACAAAGGAAAATGATACATGGCAGTGTATCAAGTTAAGAAAGAGTAGAACAGTCTGCTAAAATCTATGTTAGGTTCAGTATTATTCAACATCTTCCTCAGTGATCTAGAAGAGGAAGTGAACAGAATGCTAGTGAAATTCTCAGATGATACTAAATTGTGACCATTCCAAAGAGACCTAGAGAGATTAGAAACATAAGAAGAAAATAACAAAATGAGATTCATCTTGGAAAAATGCAAACTAATATGTCTGCAGATAAATAATTCAAAAGCAATGTACTGAATGGTAGGGAGCAGCCTGGGAAACAGGAATGCTGAAAAAGATTTATGAGTGATAGATTGCAAAATCATGACTGATTTGCTATGTGCTATGGATACAAAAAAAGCCAATGCAATTTAAGGTTGCAGCATCATGTGTGCAGCAGCCTCACGTCACCAAGGAGGGAGGTAATAGGTCCTTTCTGTGTGGCTCTAGTGTGACATACCTGGCATGTTGCTTTCAATTCTAGGCACATTAGAAGAAAGATATTGACAAAGCTGAGGGAGTCCAGAGAACAGCAACAAAAATGATCAGGGACTGGAGCGGATTGGCTTATGAGTAAAGATAAAATGACTGAATATGCATAACTTGGTAAGAGACTATTGAGGATGTCTACCAATATTGAAGAGTATAAACCATGAGGAGGAAGAGGAATTATTTAGGATGCTGCTTTGGAGAGTATAACTAGGAGCAACAGAATGAAATTAAGAAAAATAAAATTTAGACTGAATTTTAGGAAAAGCATCTTGACAGTGAGATGTATTAGGCTGTGGAATAGTCTTCCAGCAGAGGCAGTTCGGCTAAATATCAGGTAAGGTACTATCTGATTCAGTAGCCTAATAAGTACGTAGAATTATCACTTATGAATTTAAAATAAGATAGTTACTATTTAATACTTTGGATTTATTTCACTCTTACAAACTTAAAATTTTGTCCTCTACCGAATTCATCCTTTTGCATTTGGCAAATATATTTCCCCAGGTTTCTAATGGAACTAAAGATGATGTTCTTTGCTTATTTGTACACCAGCATCACTGATGTTATGCCAGTTCTAAGAAAATTATATTAGTCTACATCTGCAATAAAGCCAACAAAGAAAGTTTTTGGTGGTCCTACAAAAAAGATGCTTATAAAAAAAAATTGTGACAAGTGGTAGATTTTTAGTAGGTATTTAATGCGCATTATATAAGGGCAATCAACACCAAAGTTTGATAATTTCACGTTATATCAATTTCAGGTCTGAACTTTTTTACACTGGGCCTGATCTTGCAGTTGTTTTAAATGCAAAATTCACATTGACTTCATATGCAAGAGAACTAATTAATCTTAATAAGGGTAGAAATACAAAAGTATTACTATATGTCCTTTAGCAGTAACAGCAAGGAGTAGTAAACTTTTTTGTTCCTGTGTGGAGAAATTTGGGGCTGTTTTTTAACCTACAGCATGCAGATTTGTTTGGCTCTGACTTTACAAGCTTGTAATTGCAACACATAAAATCAGTGTTTGAACTGGAATGGCCCATTGTGTCAGCCAGGAATGTTATTTTAAATTCCTTTAAGCTGGAATTAGAAATTCAACTCTCTAGCACATTAAAGAGATGCTTTGTTGTCACAAAGACACAAGAATTAACCAACCTGTAATGGACCTGGAGCCAAAACAGCCATAAGAAAACAAGTAGAAAGAGAGATTCCTTTTAGGGACCAAGAATAGAAGGGGCAAATTAAGACGAAGTCATGATAAACACATTGGCCATATTTCCAAAGAGACCTTAACCTTACCTCTGAATATCCATCCACAGAATGTGGTTCCATCCATCCAAGGAAATTGGGTCAGTAGCCATTTAACTACACACTTTTCACATATACACATGGTTTGTGCCTGTAAATGCATGTTTATATAGATCAAAGTCACCCAGGCAAAATTCCAAGTGAAAATATAGAAGCCACTTTTGAAAATGCAGTCCATATTGTCCAGTAATTTTTCCTATGTTTTAAATACATTGACAGAATGTTGTGCTGAATACTCTTTGTAAAGGACACAAGAATAAAGATTCTTCCTAAATCTTTATGCATTGTGGGAGAAATTCTCAACCTGCTATAAGTAATTAAAAATGTATTGAATGAGTAAGTTACAGTGTAAAGTACAGGAATGTTGTCTGTGTTAACTAGCATGTCATAAAGGGAATAGCACCCTCCTAGGATTTACATGTCCTCGATACCCCTGAATCTATTCAAATCTAGTTTAGGAGATAAAGCCAAAATTTATTTTCTTGTGTCAAAATAGATTTGCCTTTCTAAGAATCATAGTAAGAAGAACAAAGAAAAAAAGGTCTATTCAGCAGAGGGGGTACTGACAGCCAGGTGAAAGCAATTGGCCTTATATGATCCTAACACATGAAATGGAGGATGTAGTTTAAGATGTACATTTTCAAAGCCCTGAACAGACTTTTCAGACAAATGATTCCCATTATAGTCAGTGGGAGTCGTGTGGCTAAAGCTCTATTCAATGCTTGAAAAGAGGCAGAGCTCAGCATCCAGCAAATTCACTATGATAGCTACAAAAAACTTAGAACCATGTTAGCTATAGTTGCACCACTTGCACCAGGCCCTTTTGGTTAAATTTGCTGCCCTCTGCTGCTGAATATGTAACAAAACAATGTGTCTTACCCGCATGGAGAAAGCCTCGTGTTGTTCTAGTTCTTTGTGTACTCATGCTATTCTTCGCAGGATATTATATAAGGGTCCTGAACAATTCAAAGACTGTGAAACTCCAGACAAATCTGTCATTTCCTGCTTTCTCTGAACAAGCAGAAATACAGCCTTCTATTTGTTTTTAAATCAAGACATTTTAGGATGACGAGGAGGAATGGTAAGATTTTGGCCTCCACTTCAATCCCTATGGGCTGCTTTGGTGGGTCATAACAGTCTGGAAGCCAATCCCTGAAGCTGCTTTGGGCTGGCATATGTGGCCCCACACTGCACTCTCTTGCCGCCCTGTTTCAGGAGATGCAGCATAGAACCCAAGTGTCTGACTGATCCATTTTCTATAGGGAACACCACCTACTTCTTTGCTGGTGTAGCCGGAAATGTTGTTATCCAGGGCACACTGATTCACTGTAGGTTAGCTCTATGATTTCCTGAACCAACTATTAAGCTACTCCATATGTCAATGTGACTTTAAGGAAAAATGCCCTCTTTGGTATGAAAATCTATATAAAGTGCTCTTCTGTCTTAAATATAGTGTAACTCAGGGCTTGTCTATGCCATGAGGTAATGTGCTTTACAGAAGTGCGTTTTTTAAGACGCTCTAACATGTTGTGCATTAATTGGTCCATGCAGACCCTCCTGTTGTGCACTAAAGGTTCCCTAGTGCACCTTAACATAGTACTGTTTCAAACAGCACTGTGTTAGAGCACCAGCAGGATCTACATGGCCCAATTAATGCACAGTATGTTAGTGCACTTTAGCAATCATACTCCTATAGAGCACATTACCCCACTGCGTAGACAAGCCCTTAGTCTATGGGAATGAGGACAAACCAGTATTTTTTTATCTTTTGCCCAGGTTATCTAGTTCAGAATCATGGTGTGTTTCAAAAAAGGTGTGCAAAAAATGGAATAGTCCAAATATTGTAATTTGAAGAGTAGGATGTATTACTGATTAGTTCTCTGCATTCATGATTTTTTTCAGATGTTTTCCTTTGTACTGTCTTCATCTCTCTTCAGTTATCATATACTAGTCTTCTGTAGTTTATGTGCTCTTCTAAAATAGACATTTAATTCAAGACTAATAAAGTAGCAATTCTGGACTGGGCAATTCATGAAGCCAAATTCAATGTAATTTTTCTGTTAAAGTCTTGGAAGGTATGTTGTATTGAATCACAGCAGATTGCCAATAGTAATATTGAACTATAAATATTGTAGAGATGAAGGATGATCTTATGGTTGGAATATAAGAGTATGACTCGGGAGATCTGAAATCACTTCCTTCTCTGGTACGTGATATAGGCAAATAATTTATCACTGGGCTTCAGTTCCCCATCTGTAAAACTGGAATAATGTTTCCCCTACATCTGAGGAGTGCTGTGAGGATAAATCTGTAGTCTTGGGTAGTGCTCAGGTGCTATAGTAATATCTTATAAATACCTAGATCAAGATAGGTCAATAGTGCTGTTAATTGTTCAACAGATCAAGATTGGTGATCTGTTGTGATTAAATCAAGCCCTTTGAGTTTCTGCTAGAAAAATGCCATGGGATGTTTAATTAATGAAAAAAAATAGCGCTATGCCTAGGGTGACCATATGTCCCATTTTGGCCAGGACATTCCTTTTTTAAGCCCTGTCCTGACTTTTTTGACAAAAGTGGGCATTTGTCAAAAAAGTGGGGTGCAGAGGAACGTGCGAGGGGAGGAGGGCGCAAGCAGCGATGCCAGCCCCATGCAGAGAGGGAGGCAGGGCTTGGGCTAGCAGCAATGCCAGCACCAGCCTTGTGCGGGGGACAGGCAAGGCTTGGGCAAGCAGCGATGCTAGCTCTGTGTGGGGCGGGGAGGCAAGGCTCTGGCAAGCGGCTCGGGCCAGCCCCGCAGGGGGTGTGTGGGCGGGGGCGGGCTAGCCCCATGTGGTGTCCCATTCTCCCTTTGGGAAATATGGTCACCCTAACTATGCCCCATAACGTCATATTGAGACATTGGCTCCAACTTGACTCAGGGCAGTGTTGCCCACTGAATCGCCAACATAATTCTTCAGGAAGGCATTGGCTTAGTTAGTTTATGAGGTCTGATAAACTGGCATACTATAGCTACACATTACTACATTTTAAATACAATCATATGAGTTTAAGAATAAGGGGAGTGAGGGGGCTGTATTTCAGAGACTTTAAACTAAGGGTATGCTGTACCTTTGTGCTAAATGACAGTTTACTTTTGGCTGCACAAAAGAATCCAATACCCTTTGGAAAGTATTTAAAAAAACAAAGTTTAAAATAAATGTAATATCCCACTGGAGCTGCCAATGTTTTGGACTGTTGGTTTTTCACGCTGGATGAAGAATTCTGTCGCTTATTTTTCTGCTCATTGGGCAGTTTCCTTTATTCTATTTTATACCACTGGTGTGTGTGGTACAGGGTCCCATTTGGTGCCAATCCACAGAGGACATGAGGTGTTACAGCCCTGAGCTACAGAGCCATGGTTTTTTAGCTCAAGCTGTAGCAGCTCATGTATTTAACTTTGGAGATCCGCAATTCAGTCCCAGATGTGTTGGCCAAGGTGGCAGCCCACTAGCTGTAATTCATACTTGTTCCCATTTTTTGCTGCAAAATTTGAAAAATTTCATATGAAAATTAATGCACTGACAATATAAAATAATGAAATCAAAAGGTCTGCATTAGACAAAAGATTTAAAAAAAACCCCAAAAGCACTTAGAATCCATAATTACTACTAATATAAATTTCAAACAAGATGATTTAAATAGATGGCAGTTTCATTACATAGGCTGAAATGGCTTTTTAACATAATCATTCCTGCATGATGCATATTGCTTATCTGTGCTGTGTGCTTAGCTTCAGGTTGAAAAGATACAGAATTAACATGCCTTCTTTCATAAGAAGACCAAGAGTGGCTGAAAGCAACATGGCTAAAATCATGTGTGTCTATTTACCCATTAGTCAGTTTGGGCACTTTTTTGTACACACTAAAGAAGAAAACAGCCATTACATTTGTTCTATAATTATGCTCCTTTCTTTTACAGGACACATAATAGGTTTTAGATCCTAATTGTTTATGCTGCCAAAGATAATACTCAGCTTTTGAAAAATTATTTTTAAAGTGCTTGACATTTTCCATATTCTGTGTAACATTATGAATGACCACTGGAAGAGCAAGCTGAAAAAGGAGGCATTTTAAAACAGTTAGTCTATGACTGCTCTTGACAAAAACATGATCCATATGGAATCCCATCTTCATTCTTTGGTTTTATTTCATTCCCTTTTCCCCTATTATTTGTTTTGTGTGTGTGTTTGTGGTTTTAATGTGACATGACATTTCCAGCACTTTGCTCAGTGTGTGCCTTTTCCTTCCCTTTTCCTTCACAACGGCTCCAGACTGATCACATAAACCCAGATGACATAGATTTAGAAAATGAACCCTGGTATAAATTCTTTTCAGAACTGGAGTTTGGATGTCCGGTAAGTGAGGATAGAATATTAATATTTAAACATTAGGATAATATATTGCTAAAATACAATTCACCAAATACCAAACAGACGTGCCTCTATCTTCCTCATTACATTAAACTCCTCAGTATTACATCTTCATCAGTGTATGCTAACGTATGTTTCTATATAATATGAGCCCAATTTTTGATTCACAACTCAGGAAAATAGCCCACTGAAGTCCATAGGAGTTTTACGTGAGAATTGGGTCCAATGTATACATTCGGCCATTTTCTTTGAGTGCTTAATCTGCCAAAACATTGATTTTAATCACTAATTAAGGTGCATAGACTACATAGAGTAAGTGGTATATACTTGTTGCTAAGTGTAATATCAGCTGTATATAAAACATAATTGTTTTTGACTTTTACTAAATTTTTGCATTTGGAAAGATTAGATTGATTAAATTATAAAGAGTAGAAGACATTTTTAAAAATTATAGATTCCAAAGCCAAACGCACTCAGTTTTGTATGAAGGAATGTGTCTACTTTTAATACACATACACACCCACACAATATGGGCACCATTTGGAAACTCAACATTGGTATGCTTGTCACTATGGAATCCCCATCCTAAGTATAGTCGATACTACAGTTAATGCAGGTGCTTGTGGCAATAAGTGTTGACTTTTGGAGGGTAGGGATTCAAAGAGGGGGGGGGAGTCAACAGTTATTGACACAAGCATCTACAGTAACTGCAGTGTTACAGTGATAAATACACCAATGTTGCATTTTTAAATGGTGCCTGTTTTGTATGCGTGTGCCTGTCTCTCGCCCACACACACATACATGCAGGATATATAATTTTATACTTAAATAGGTGTTGTTAGTTTTAATTTAAACTAGACATCTACTTGAAACTGCACACTCTTTGAGTCTGCTCCAGCGTTCACTAAGTCAATAACAAAGCCCCTATTGACTTCAATGAGAGCAGAAGCAAGCCCTGTATATGCAACTGAAAAGGACTGCAAACCCATATATATTAATACAAACCATTCAATTATTTTTAAAGCTTTAGATATGTAATCCTATTTTTTTTTCACTGAAACAATGCATTTGATATTTAAGTATTTTTTTAATTTGTAGTCCAACAGTCTGCAATACATCCTCATATTTTCATCAAACAGACTAACTTTAACCTCATTTTATCTAGCTTTTAAAACTGTTTTTATCATCATTCATCCATATGTAGGCAGGGCGTAGGCAGGCTAAAAAAATTTCCATCTAGAGACAAAAATATCACTAGTTGTCATTAATATCCTCTATAAGGTAAAGTCCATATAGAAATTTCACCAGCAGGCCATAAATACTCAATCCTTTATTCTACATTCTTCTGTCCCACCAGTTTTTAAACTGTTGGTATTAATTCAACTATTCACATTTTAAGTTGGAAGTTTTACTCACTAAAATTACTAACATTTTATTAAGATGCTTGATATTATTGCAAAATTACTGTACCACGCTCTTCCTTCCAGTGAACCCCCATTTTGCTGCATATGTGTCACTCTTGTATCTGATGCTGTCAACACTCAGTTTCTAACTATGTCACCTTCTCCACATGTTTCATTCCTTGCTGCCATTGATACTCCTCCATTTCATCTCTACACTTCTGCTTATATGGTGCAGCCTCCTAAAAAGCTTTTGGACTATGTTCAAGACAATTCTCCCGGTGTTTCCAATGAGGTAAATGAAGCATTCTTTCTTGTTCAGACGATTTGTTTGGGAAACAAGAGCATGACACTCACTAGTCATATCTGAGTTTGTTAATGTTTAGTGGTTTCCTACCAATAACTCCTGGGCCATTCATAATTTGGTATCATTTTATTTTTGTCTTTATATCTTTCCAGATCACTAGCGCATATGGATGATGTTCTTATTACACTAGAAACTGAGTCCATATTCCAAAACCACCGAGAGTCACATTCAAAATTACAAAATAAACCATACGTTTCTAAATCTTGATATATTCCCACTTCCTCAGTTATGCATTGATTTTAGATACCAATTAACCCAGTCTACAAGAACAGGATTTGTGATTAATATATGTGGCGGCAAATTACAGCCTTCAAGTGAAAGTCATGTTGGATGAGATTTTTTTAACTGAAATATTTATAATTAGGTTTCCTAGCCAGGAAAACCAGCAATGAATTGTGGCTGTAAATTAGTAACTGTAGAATAGATAGTTGTCATGATTCTGATTAAATAACATCAGAATTAAGTACAGGACTGACTGCCATTGCCTTGCACTAAATGGGACAGGTCCAGATTTTCTTTTTTTTTTTGTCCCATGTCATGTTGTACTTAAGCACCAGACAGTGTCCTGTCACAAAGTGGTTTTAAGTCATTCATGATTCTTGATTAGCTTCCATTCCCCCATCCAAAAAAAATTGTCTTCAAGGATTAAAAGAAAAACATGGTCCCTCATTGTTCACTGCATTGCAGACTATTCAAGTGTGCTTTTAGTCTCAGCAACCTGACAAAACCTCAACTCCTTGTCTTGAGGGCACTCAGTCGATAACAGAGGAAGCCATTTGAATCACCCAGGATATGATCGTTTGGAGTTTGTGTCCAGTAGAGCTGGGTAAAATATTTATAACTAATGTGTTGGTTTTGTGTTTAATTTACAAAACATGTCTATTTTTTAAAGTGAGTGTCTGTGAAATTGCAGTGATTCTTGAAAAAATATTTCCTCAAATATTTTTCACTTTAGGTGTTCGTGAAAATATTTAAAACAACAATACTTTGTTCAAAAATACAATGTTTGTGAAATTTAGTGGATTAAACAAAATTTCAGGGGAGCAAAGTCATGTCAAATAAATGGCCAGAAATCAATACTGATTTTCATGGGGACACAGAAAAACTTTCACCAATTTTTCCTAGCTCTGTTATCAGTCACCATAAAGGCCCTGATTTGGCAAAACATCCCCTGGTCAGGAAAGCAATCAGATACATGCTTAACTTTAAGCACGTGCTTAAGTGCTTTTTTGAATAAGGAGGAATTAAGGATGTGCTGAAGTGCTTTGCTGAAAAAAATATCAACATTTTGTAAAGCTTAATTCCCATATTGAGCTATTTTACAAATTACCCTGTTATTAGTTGGCAGTATAGGAAGTAGGGGCACAAGAACTTTAGGCAGTACTGAACATCCCAAAGAATATGTGTAGGTGGGTTGATGGATGTGGCTTGCTGTGCATTGGACAGCTCCTGGAGGTGGTAGAAAGGACAATGGCATGTGGCAACTAATGAACAGGATCCCTAGAAGTGAGGTTTTTTACCCATGAAAGCTTATGCCCAAATAAATCTGTTAGTCTTTAAGGTGCCACCGGACTCCTTGTTGTTTTTGAGGATCCCTACAGTGTTGTTAGAAACACTGATACCAGCTCCTGTCCTTCCAAGACATAATGCCTTCCACCACACAGGGCATGCCCTCCCCCTTTAGCCACCTTCTACACAGCTTCACCTGTAGGAGCTTTGTAAGCAGTCAAATGTATACACTCTCCACTTATTTTTAGAGGATCCTGTACATGAAAATGTAAAACTATGGTGTAAGTTAGTACGATGTGGCCTACTATAGCATCTTTCATATGCACAAAATGCTTCAAAGAGGGAGTCAAACACAAATTAAAGAGAAAAGGAAGGGTAAGATCAAAGTGATTCAGTGTCTTGAAGGGAGGAAAGGAAAGAGCTCACATAAGGCAGCCAGCATGCACCTTTGTCTGTCTTAGTTTTGATCACACTCATGCCCTTGTTTACCAACCTGGAGAGTTCGTTGGAGAATAAACAAAAATCTTAAAAGGTAAGGGCTTGATTGTGTGATTTACAGACAGGCCGTCATAGGAGACAGGGTGAAGTCACACTGCCCCTAAGAGCACCCAGAGAGAGTGTACCTCAGGGGGCACAAGCCTACTACGATTCATAAAGGCTAGGGCTCTGACTTGTTGGGCTGCTGACCGGGGGACAAGGCCCTACCTCCTCCCTACTTCGAGCCCTGATGATTTGCTCCTGGGAAAGAACAAAAACTGAACAGTCCCTACTCACAGGGACTGCTATTGTGATGGGCCCTTCTGTGGACCAAGGCGGGGGTGAGAGGTTACATCTCATCCAATCACAGTCTGGTCCCAATGCTGGGTAGCAAAAAACGTTGTTGTTCAACTACCAGCCTCAGCTGACATAGTAGTTCTTTACACTTTTAATGGGCTCTGTCCTCCTTGGTTCAGGTTTGGCTGGAGTTTACATTGTAGTCCCCACAGTCTGCACTCCTTGAAGGGCCACTACAAGTGATCTAAAGTCATCACTCTCTGTGTCTGGTGACTAATACCATGTGAGTTGATGGTCTCACTCTGATTTCTAGAGGAAAGGGGATATCATAAGAAAATCCACCTTTGGTATTAATCTGCAACTGTTATGGCAGTGAACATAGCTCTAACTAGGACCACACTTAAGCTCAAACTCTTGTATTGGTGCCTACCTATGATTACGATTGGTTCAATATAGATTAGACAGCCACACGTTGTCAGTCTTGAGACCAAGACTGGGTGTGGGAGCTAAGTTACATTTACATCATGTAAATGTGGTCCCTCCACATGCTTGACATACGTCAGTGGGACAGTATGGGAAAGCATACAAAACTGCTGAGGACTTTGCTCTGTTATGTTGTGCAAATAAACAGAGAACGTTGGTTTCTATGCCTGTCAGTGTAATTTCCTCAGTGTTGGCAAATTCTCACAATTGTATTCCATGCATTGCAATATTTGGTGTTATTCTTAGAATCCCAGCTCCTGGAGTCAGATAGTTTATTTGAGAATCTCAATCTCCATTTTTTTAAAAAGTAAGTTTTTAGCCCTCATGGTTGCAGAGAAAAACTTGAAAACATGAATCATAAAGGCTCAAAAACCAAGGAGCAAATAAAAAGCATTCAAGATTTATAATGTTTTTAAACTGTCTGACTCACGATTTTTGAACATGCCAGGCTGGCATTCTTCATCAGACCTAAATTAATTCCAAATCTTTAGAAAATGAAATAAGGACAAATTCCTGAGATCTATTAACAGGTTTAATATCTATGAAAACACTAAAGTATTATTAATAGAGCTTGGTAATAGATTTGGCTCAAAAATGCAGTCCTCTATTTCAGCAGCATATGGAGAGGTTGTATTGTGATGCTTTGTTCCCTGCAAAATATGGATTATTGGGACTAGTTTCTCACGGTAAGCTTCACTCTAATCTGCAGATAAAATGATTTCTTCATATGGGTTACCAGGCCTCAGAGACTTTGGTCTGCATTCATCTATTTCTGTTTTTCATTTTTTTAATCCAATTCACTAATTATTTTATCTGTTCCAAAATGCATTACACTAATCAGCTAGCAGCAGGCAATAATATAAAGTAATGAATTAACACATTACCAAGCCAGATGACAAAAAGATTTGGAGACCCATCTTTCTCTGGGACGTTGAAACCTGCAAGCAATGTCTTTCCGTTGTTAGCAGAAAAAAGTGTGTCTGTAAGAAACAAAAGAGAAGCTAATTTAAAACATTATTTGTATTGTCACGACCAAAAAGGACTATGTTCTAAGAGCTGAAAGCTCTCCTCTCATGGGAAAGGGTGTACATGGGGTACACAAAAAGCTTCATGGGAAGAGGACACAATTCGTAGCTAACCATCTTAGCAGATGTAAGTTCCTAATGTTAGAAAAAGCCGGGCACATGGCCAACAATAGTGGCACAGTCTTCCACCGAAAGGGCCATTGCTAAAGCAGTCATGCCATGTGGACAGAGCCATACTTCTGGGAACACTGGTCCACACCATCCATCATTCCATGAATGTGTATGCTTCAGCACAGTGCCTTATGACCAAAGCTGGTAGGAGCAATGGATGAGGAATAGAGAAATCTGCTATATGTATAAGCCACACATTGCAAGTTAATGTTGCCTGAGGCAATGTTAATGTGCAAAGCCTAGCTCCTGTAATAACTTACTCCAGGTATCAGTGGTGTCACCTACTTCTTCCTATTGTGTATCAGACAGCACTTTCTGATTGCATGTACATCCATCATGTTCTCCTGTTGCATACGCTTTGGGGTTGTTTTGGGCATAACACCCAAACAAGGCCCTTTGTGTAGCACAAGTGCTTAGACATCCTATTTTGTTTTCATTTTCAGTTATCCTCTTCTCTCTGTGGCACAGGAGTACAGTGGTATGCCACCAGTATTTTAACATGGGAGTCCACAAAAATGTTTCCCCTTAGTCTGATAAACCTTGTTTTCCAATGTTGCATGCACTGCAGAGAGGAAGGATGAGGGACAAAGGATTCAGTTCCTTTTTTCTCTTCTTTTTTCCCCCTTCAATTTAAAATAATGAAAATACCTGCCATTAGGTGCAATCTGGTGCATGACAACAGTATGCAATTTGCTCTTCTGAAGCAGTTTAAGAGCCCTAGGGAGAAGTCATCTTTGTTGAGATGCTATAACAGTATCCAGAGGGATGAACTCCATCACAGGTAGTGAAATTGCCCCAGGTCTCCCTTCAGTGTGGTGACAGAATTTTAACAAAGGGACTCCAAGGACTTGCCCAAGGTCACACAGCAGTCCAGTGGCAGAGCTGGGAATACAATCTAGGTCTTCTGAGTCCCTATCCAATGCCCTATCCACGAGGCTATACTATCTTCCAGTGAAACCTCAGACTTGCTACAGTCATGTCTGTTAACATTATATCCTGCCACTGATCCACTCATGGAGCTCCCAGTTGAAATCAGCTGACCAAGAGCAGCATGCAAAAACTGATAGCAGGATACGGCCCTTAGATTATACACTGTAAATAATAAAGGTCTCCACTGGATCCAGTTCTGCCATCATGCATATAAGAGTAAAATCAATAATTGTTGATTGGTTGTGGGGCAAGATGATGATAGCTGACACTTAGGTTATGTATTTGTAGTAATCAAAACTTTTTTCAAATGCATAAAAAATGTACATAGTAGATGGTATCCTCTCTCTTCATCCTTGTCTTCAATTTGTAAATTCTGTGCAGCAGAGACTGTGTTTTGATATGTGTTTGTACAGCACCTAGCACAATGGGAGCTTGATCCCAATTGGGGACTCTGGACACTACAGTAGTATAGGTATTTATTAATAATAATAATAATGAATACAAATAAATATTGATGAGTAAAGCAAAAAGTTTATTTCAGATAAACATCCACAAGTTTTGGTCCTCATCCAGAGCTAATCTGAAGCTCTTTCCTCTGAAACTGATCTTGCAATTACTTTCAGCTACTTTCATCTCAACTTCCATTCCGATCTAAAACCAAAAAGTTCTGAATCATGTTAACGAAGCTGTTTAAAATATCTGGAAAAATTTGGGATCCATTGCAAGTTTTAGGCAATGTTATGTTCATATTTTATCCACATTTGTGTGGCTTTCTCTACTTTTAAAATGTGATAAAGTTTAGTGAATAATCCAGTAAATTATGTTTGTTTGTGTTTTGGTGGAATTGTTTAGTATGTGATCTGAATCTTTAAAGAATGAGGACTACTGAAATCTAATTTCAGACTACTGCCTCTGAAGAATCTCGCGTATATCTGGTCCTTATAGAACCCATTATATTTAGTTATTGTTGACTGTGATTATAGAATGCTCATGCTGTGCTGAATGTCTGTGGTAATGCAAAATCTATTCCTAAATGTTTCTTAAACCAAGGACGACCTCTAGAGGTGTGATTACATGTCAGTTACTAAAAATTAGTTTGACTATATTTTTTTTAACTTTGAATCCAATCATTTTTAAAAAATTGATATATGCAATGACAAAGCATTTAAGAAGACCATAATTTTTCTATATGATTGCAGCACACCCTATACTTTTTCTATACAGAGAAAAGTGGATCCTGCAGCATATAAAGCCATGTGAAAATTCTATTTACAGTTCACTGGGTCATCTTTGAAATGATATAGCATGAAATGTTTAACATTTCACTGACCTAGCTTTGTGCCCTTGAAGAGGCACCATGGGGACAAGACGATTCCTTTTCTAGCTACCACAAACTAGTGCTACGTAACTCTAATTCTGGCTGCAGTTTTGAAACCTATTAAGTGAATGGTTTAAAAGTATTTATCACTTAAGATTGAAATTACGTTGACAAGTTAAAAATATTTCAGGGTAGCACTGCATTCCATCTTTCAGGTGTCATGCAATAGCTACTGGTAAAGCAATGAAAAGGCATTAGGCCTCTGTGAAAAGAACGGTTCTTAAAATGAATTTAGAATGGCCAGCAAATGGCCACAAAAATGATGGCTCTTTCAGCTACATTTACGAAGAGTTTCCAGCTTTAATTCACATCGATACTTTGGTGAGTAATTGGAGGAAATTCTGCGGGTCTTTATATGCAGATGAAAATTTTCTTTTTAGATTTTATATATCTCCACTTGTAATCAATTTCAATCATAGTGTAGCAAATTATGAAAAAGCAAATAGAAAGTCCTGGATTGGTATTTTAAATTGAAAGATATAACTGAAAGTGTAGTAAGAAATTTTATGGAGCTCTTTTAAAAATGGTATAAATTCTTTTGTGAAATATCATTGAACCTGTAGTCTGCAGTGCATAGGACATTAATCATGATAGTCTGATTTTTATGGGGCTCATCTTAGGGTCACTAATTTAATGAATGGTCCCAGAAAATATCCCTGGAAAATGTCACACTTTTTTCCAGTGCAAAAGTTTAACGGATTGACCTATTTGTTTTCACAGACCTCCTTATATCACCCTTCTCCAGACAAAGGCCTGGACAGACCTTCTAGGTAAGAAACATGATGTGTCCTTGCAACAGACAAGTTGACCAGTCCTCACGGAGGGTAGAGGTCTGCTGAGCATCCTGAAGTCAATGGGAGTTGAGGGCGCTCTGCACTTGCATAGCACTTCTTGGGATCCAGCCTACAGCATCCCACATATGGGACAATGACAAAATATCATGTGGGTTCTCTTGAGATTTGCAGATCTTCCTTTTGTTTTAGAAGGATGTATTGACTGCTACTCAGAACGTCACCCAATCCTTCAAAGCCCTCCACTGGCATCCCTCACCTTCTGTATTAACTTGTAGCCTCTATCCCTCACTTTCAGTGCACTGCATACAATACTCCACCTCTCCCAACATCTTTGCACTCATTTTTTATTACACCTCTTCTTTGCTTCACTCAAGCATCCAACCTCACTTCTATCTTCATATCATTCCCTATTCTCGTCTTTGTGCTTGGAACTCCCATCCCAGTGTGCAAAGGTACCAGACTCTCTTCATTCAAATCCCTCTTTAAACGTCTGTATTTCACAACACCTACTTGTATTAACCCTTAAATTTAATCTATTACCTAATTTAAAAATGAAAAAAGAATAACCCTGCAACACCTTATATTAACTTTCTCCTCAACATGCAAAACAATCTGTGGCTGTTTGATACATCTGTCTATTTAGGCCTTGACACTGGATCCCAAAGCAAGATCCATGTGCTCTTGAGTGCATGAGACCCCATTCTTTTCTACTGACCTTTTTCAAGGGTTTCCTCTAATCTGTCCTTTCTTAGGCCTACCCCAGGACTGCTATTTATTTCCTGTATCATAGCTTAGCTTTCTAAGCCTTGTCTATTCTTAAAAAGGCTTTGCCAGTATAAATATACTGTAGAACTATACTGGCAAACCCCCCTCGTGTAGACGCAGCTTATTCCAGCAAAAGAGTTCTTTTGTTAGTATAGTTTAAACCAGTTCCCTGAACAGAATAAGCCATAGAGATAAAAGAACTTTTTTGCAGGTATAACTGCACCTACATTACAGTTTTTGCCAGCAATTTTTTCTAGTGTAGCCCTGCCATAGAGACCAAATATATAGAGACTTGCCAAAATGTGTAGGAAAGAGCAAGAATGTCAGGCGAAAACAGGTCTGCGCTGGGTCTAAGGCTCATGTGGAGGATGATGATAACATCATGTCTCTTGTGGATGATAACTTCATATGTCCTTACCACTGCTCCTGCTCTAAAGGAACTCCGCAATCCCCTCATCCCTTCCCAGCATTCAGCCTGGGAAAGTTTTGCTGGCTGTAGCTGTACTCAGCTCCAGGTACCTAGCAGTCTGTTCCAGCCTCCAGTCACTGGCTCTGAAACCTGAAGCTTTCCTGGCTGGGCTGGATTGTGCTATTCACATGGGAACCTTGATTACTGCTGCTGCAATCACTGCACCTTGGTGCTCCTCGTTGCTAGCAGCAAAAGTGAAGGGTGGCTACAGGGCCTGGAGCAAATCATGGGGAGAGTGATAGGGCAAAGAGCACAGTGCAGGCAAGGAGCCTGTGTAGGGTGACCATATGTCCTGTTTTGGCCGGAACAGTCTCTTTTTTAAGCCCTGTCCCAGCCGTCCCGACTCCCCTGCAGGCAGCAGGGCTCGGGCAAGGGGCTTGTGCCAGCCCCATGCATGGGAAGGGTGGGCTCAGGCGAGTGGCTTGGGCCATTCCCTTGGGGGGCGGGGGCAGGGGGAAGAGCTCAGGCCTGTACCACATAGTATCCTGTTTTCCCTTTGGGAAATTTGGTCACCTCAAACCTGTGTAGCATGGGGACTGTTCATTTGCAGGTGCTGAAGCCTACAGGCTGTCTTAGACAGTTATCCCAAGCAGGGCCAGAGTCACTTACACAGCCAGGAACTGCCTACAGCTGCTTCAGTGCCACCAGCAGTTCATTCCTCTGCTTACTTGTTCTGAACAGGCATGGCAAACTAAGAGTGGGACAATGCAAAGAGGCGGGGACAAAGAGAGACACTGAGTGAGGCCAGAGCAAGCCAACATGCCCACCCAGGCAGTAGAGGGAAGAGCTTTCTTTGGAGGGAATCAAGGGATATACACCCACATCCCCTGTTGAAAGCTAACATTTGTACCATTGTATAAGACAGGGATCGGCAACCTTTGGCACGTGGCCTGTCAGGGAAATCTGCTAGCGGGTCGGGACGGTTTGTTTACCTGCGGCGGCCGCAAATTCGGACGATCGCAGCTCCCACTGGCCGTGGTTCACTGTTCCAGGCCAATGGGGATGCGGAAAGCGGCGCGGGCCGAGGGACATACTGGCTGCCACTTTCTGCAGCCCCCATTGGCCTGGAACGGCGAACCGTGGCCAGTGGGAGCTGCGATCGGCCGAACCTGCAGACGCTGCAGGTAAACAAACCGTCCCAGCCCACCAGCGGATTTCCCTGACGGGCCACGTGCCAAAGGTTGCTGATCCCTGGTATAAGATGAAGGACTGGGTTGTGATCAGATAGTGGATATAGCTGTTGTGCCACAGACAGCTCACAGGGCAGCCTCCCAGCGCCAAGAAAGGCTGCAGGGGCAAAGCTGCCTGTGTCTCTGGCAGAGCAGCAAAGCCTGGGAAGAAGCAAACTGCCAAAACTAGAGACTGAAATTTTTGAATCAAAGTCCTTCAGTCCAAACATGGCCTTTTGTGCAAAAACTTGTCAACAATGTGGAAATTTTACATTTTTGTGAAAAATGTAGTGTCTCTTAAAATAATCTCTGGAAAACATTATTGAAATGTATATGGAAATGTTTCAGTACATTCTGATTGTGTTGATAATGAAATATCAGGGAAGAAAGTGAAAAATTTTGGATAAACAAAAGAAGGGGTCAAACCTTTTCAAAGCCTTTAAAGATGAAATGGGCTTCAAAATTCTGAAAATTTTCCTGAAAATAGATTTTCATTTTTTAGTCAGCTTTAGCACAAATGGGGCTTCACTCTGCAAAGTGTGCAGTTCTTGGGGGAGCTGTGAACAGTGCCTTGTCCTGTTATATTTTTAGTCTATTCATTCACGTGGTGTTGGAACTGTTAAGTGGGTCATGGCTAAGGGGCCTGCTTATTGATCCCTGAAGAGAAAGTATTCAAATGAGCCCTGCTCACAGGGTTTAGACTGGCACTAATATTGATTATTTCTTTAGTTCTGCAAGTGACTACAGAAAAAGGAGGAAGTCGGAGCCTGCTGTAAGTCATCAGAGGGTGCACAGTGATCAAAATGCAAACAGGACTAGCCTGGGCCATGCAGATATGCAGGGCACATACACTACCCTTAGAAAGCCTTTAACTAGCTCTTCTCCTTCTTCTCCATCAAGAGCAAAAGGTAAGAGACAAGCAGATTAGCGAACAGACAATAACCTTGTTTAATACTGAGTTCTTATTGCATACAGTTTTAAATGTTAGTAATAACTGCCAGGTACTATATGCTGTTGCTCGGACACAATTCACTGAAGAAAAAACAACAGCCTTTAATTTCTAATGAAAGGCTAACCTGTTCATTCTTGAACGTGTTATTTCAGGCTGTTTCAAACCTGGATTTATTTTTCATATGTAGTATCTACTGTATATTTATTCAAAGAAAATCAGTCAAAAAAGAATGTGATATGTAAAATTTTACATAATTTCATAAAACTACATTTCATACATTGCTTTCTTGCCAGCACTTATGAGATTGTTGTAATTTTTAAAACTCTTCCAGTATGCAGTGGAGTAAGAGAAACAGCATTCAAGATCACTGCCATGCAAATAAATCCTTAAAACTTTCCTTTCCTCCTTCAAACCTACATCTGATTCTTGGCAGCTGATAAGTTCTAGGAATCTAATTCAAAAAAGAAAGTGCCCCAGTATGAAATTGAGATGATGGATTTTGTCAAAAACTCAATAGTGGGTGAGATACAACCCATATAGTTTCTGATTCTTATGTAAGATGGTTCTTTTTTTAATTGCCAGTCACTCAAACCTCTCCTCCTTATATGTCTAGTATTTCTTACCTGTAAACGGGTTTTGTTTTTTAAAGTAAGACAAAAGGTTTCAAGGTACTACAGTGATTGTTTACATTGGGAGTAAATATACAGTTCTGCACCTCCCTCATAATCCTCTTCTTATTATTCATTTATTTGCATTACAGTAGTGACTAACATTTCCAATCAGAGCCTCATAGTGCTAGGCACTGTATAAACTTATAAAAGCCCATAAGAGCTTACAGTCTAGGTTACAACCAAACATAACAGATGGACAAGGCATACAAATAGTAGGGAAGATGTTGGAGGATGAGTAATAGGAAAGCAAGCATAGCTAAGTACAACACACATTAAGGTACGAGTATTCTCTGTATTGAGGGATGGATCCCTGGAGAGCATTTGCCACAAAATTGAATATTATTTATATGGGTATCCAGCCTGGAGCAACGCTATATTCCATTGTCTCATAAAGAAACAAAACCCTACTAAAATATTATATTTCTTGAAGTCAAGTACTCTTTCAAGTAAAAAGTGTGTTGTAAGATTTTTGATCAACATATCATTTCAGATTGTATCTTTAAAAGGCATATGAAGTTAATGTATTTTAGGTAAAAATAATGAGTGGAGAGAAGTCTGAACCAAAACCCTAGATCCAAACAGCCTGAACTCTGCAAATGTTTGAAATCCAGATCCAGATTTTAATTTTTCAGATGATTTCTGTTTTGTTCAAATTTGACCAACCCAGACTATGGGCTCTTTGAAATCTGTATCCTGAACTGAATTTTGTAGCTTCAGCCCATTTCTACTCAAAGAGCATTTCTGTTGTGAAAAGTGACTCTGACTTGTCTCTCAGTGACTTCCAGGTTAGAAGTTAAAAGTATGGCTTTTCTAACTTTCAGCCTGAAAACTCAACCCTGGATCTGAAAGACAAGTTGAATTCTTTGGTTCTTGCCCATCAACCCCAGATTCTGCAGGCTAAATTATATCTTCAGTTACACCAGTGCAGTGCACCCTATTGTTTTTAGATTATGCCCCTAGTGACACCTATGTAAACCCATTGGCTTCATTGTTGTTTCATAGGTGTAAATGACTGGCCTTTCAGCTTGGGGAGAGATTTTCAAAAGCACCCATGCCATCTAGGTGCACAAATTCCATTGAGTTTTATATATAAGTCCTTGGGCATTTTGAAAATATCTCATTTGGAATTTAGCTATCATTTCTGCTAATAATGCAATAATCCAGCTCATTTCTTCTATTAGTCCTATGAGTGTAAGAAGAGTAAAAAAATAGTAAAAACATTTTATCTACAGCAGATAGGGATGTAAATGTGTTGAATAAGATGTGTTGAATAAGTAGGAGCCATTGTTACAGAAAGGCTGCTCTTAATAGCAAAGAAGTAGGTTTTCTAAAAAGGCATGAGTTATGAAGTTGTACTTTGGAGTTCTACATCAGAAAGCTTAACAGCAGTTTAGCATCTCAAGGTAGTTGTCACATAGCGCCATGTGGATGGCTCACATTTGGGATTCAAGCTCAGTTCTTTACTTGGGCAAGAGCACTGCAGAATGAACCTGGCAGCCAGATGGGGAGCAACACTGATAGGTTCCAGAGACAGCAATATCCAGCTTCACTCAGAAGGACGGTCAGCTAAGTAGGGGAAATAAAAGGAAAAATGGTTGGAACTTTGGGAGGCTCTCGGCAGGAAACACACCCACAAGTACACATAGAAATGTGTCTAGTGAGGCTGCTGCATTGTTCACATATTCTGTTGTAATGTTCCTTCCTAGTCCATTCAAGATCCATTCATCACATAGTTTTACCACACATACGCTACCTGAGAGACCAGAAATCTCCCATCCATTCGTATACAGAGATTTTTCTAAGTCGTCTTAGTTAAATGTGCAGCTGCGGTAAATGGTTTGCATACACAACACTGTTTTCCCTTTCATCCTAGACCAGGGGTCGGAAACCTTTCAGAAGTGGTGTGCCGAGTCTTAATTTATTCACTCTAATTTAAGGTTTTGCATGCCAGTCATACATTTTAACGTTTTTAGAAGGTCTCGCTCTATAAGTCTATAATATACAACTAAACTATTGTTGTATGTAAAGTAAATAAGGTTTTTAAAATGTTTAAGAAACTTCATTTAAAATTAAATTAAAATGCAGAGCCCCCCGGACTGGTGGCCAGGACCCGGGCAGTGTGAGTGCCACTGAAAATCAGCTCGCGTGCCGCTTTCGGCACGTGTGCCATAGGTTGCCTATCCCTGTCCTAGACCAAACACAACTGTGTGCAAAAGTCAAAATCCAAGTGTACAACAAGAACTTTTTGTCAAACAAATTTACATTTGCTCATTTTTGGCATTTGTTTTTGATGTTATTCTTTAACTTGTATATTTTGGTAGTACCTAAAGGCCAGATCAGATTGAAAGCCATAGTGGTAGGTTCTGTACAAACAATAGATTATGGTTCCTGTCCCTGAGATAGGCCTGAGACAAAGTTCAGTTCTGCCTCTGGATTCATGCTTTCCCAGAAGTAGGGTGTCTTCAGATCCAGACTTTTGGTTTGGCCCCATCTCTACCTCTTCTGTAGTTGTATTGTCTTTCTACCAGCCTCAGAACCAATGGTACCTTTTTATATGTGGTACTTTTAATGTAAAGATTAACACTCTAGTATTTAAATGTGTTTTATTATTAATAGAAACATATGGCACTAAATCCTTTCTGATGTTTAAATTATATAGAGTAAATTTTTACAGTTGGAAAATTAAATAATTGTTTAGCATGGATTATTTGCTTTTCTCTTCTAATCTTTAGCAATGTGTATGCTGTACTTGATTGCTAGATTAGATACACTAACTGCTTTCTCTTTTCTGTTCTTTCTGATATTTACTGACATTATTTCAAACTTTTTGAACCTGTTAATTTCTGGCAATGTCTCTTTTTTACCATGCTGCTCAATGGATTATAAAGGTGGCGATATTAGCCAAGTGTATCCATCCCTTTTCAGTTATTCAGTGCACAACCACAACACTTCAAATGAATTAGATTATTGTAGCTCTTATAGACAGCATTTGGCTGTTCCAAGTGATTCAAGAAGGGCAATCCATTATAAGAATGGCTGGCAAATGACTCGTCAGAATGCAGAAGTCTGGAGCAGCACAGAAGAAACTGCCTCTCCCAAGCGGAAATCTCGTAGCTGCGATGATCTGTTAACTGATGATCACGATAGCTTTCCTGATGCACAGGCCAAGTCTGAAAGTATGGTATCTCTCATTTGTGAGGAGGATTCCAAAGGCAGTTGCTCATTGACCTGGGCCTCCCCATATGTTCCTGAGAGCCGCGGTACTAGTCGGTCAAGAATTCGTCATAGATCTGCACATGATACCCCAGGATTCCTAAAAATGTATAAGAAGATGCACCGCATCAATCGCAAGGACTTGATGAATTCTGAGGTGATTTGTTCTGTAAAGTCCAGAATATTACAGTATGAAAAAGAACAGCACAAAGGTATGCTTCAGGGCTGGAGAGAGTCTTCTACTGAGGAGGTGCCCAGGGACATGGTGCCTACCAGGATATCCGAATTTGAAAAATTAATTCAAAAATCAAAATCAATGCCGAATTTAGGTGATGAAGCATTATCAACAGTAACACTAGAGCCTCCTAAAAATGGCTTATGTTCAAAGCGGCGATTTTCTATTGAGTCCCTGCTGGAGGAGGAAAATCAAGGTAGACATACCATTCAAATACAACGCAACTGCAAACCTAAAACGCTGGTGCCAATTCATATTGAAGTGACCAGTGATGAACCACAAAGATCGCATCTGGAGTTTTCTGACAGTGATCAAGATGGAGTGGTCTCTGACCTCAGTGACTTTATCCAGATAGAAGGCTCATCCTTTTGTAGTGAAAGTGACTTTGACCACTTTTCCTTTACGTCTTCTGAGAGTTTTTATGGATCAGGCCACCATCACCATCATCACCACCATCACCACCACCACCACAAGCATCTCATCAGCTCCTGCAAGGGGCGATGCCCAGCATCCTACACCCGCTTCACCACCATGTTAAAGCATGAAAGGGCTAAACAGGAAAGTACTGAAGATCCAAGGAGACAAGAAGCAGAATCTGGCCTCTCTAAGATAGCATTCCTAGTCAGTCCAGTGCCTTTCCGGAGGAAAAAAAGTTCAGCCCCTAAAAAACAGACTGAGAAGACTAAATGCAAATCATCTGTGTTCGACGCACTAGATTCTGCTCTTAAAGATATCTGTGACCAAATTAAAGCAGAAAAGAGAAGGGGAAGCTTGCCTGACAACAGTATATTACATAGACTTATTACTGAATTGCTTCCAGACATACCCGAAAGGAATTCATCTCTTAAAGCTCTTAGAAAAAGTCCCATGCACCAGCCTTTTCATCCACTGCCTCAAGATGGTGCCATTCATTGTCCACTGTACCAAAATGATTGTGGAAGACTACCTCTTAGTGCCTCTTTTCAAGACATGGATACAACCAACAACAACAAGCAAGACAATGATAGTGCACTGTGTTTCCAAGGTGGATTACCTTCCTTTCCTTTATTCTTGTGATTGAGTCATCCACCCTTGTTCCTTTCATTTCCAACCCTTTGTCATTTCATTTTTGAGTATTTATTTATGCAGTTTAGAATAAGTGTTTACCATATAAAAGGCATGATGAAGAAAGGGTATTATTTTTACATAGCTATATGTGATAATATAAGATGGATAGAGCAGTTGTCCATCCACAACAATATAGTAATCTGGTTATCAAATGGTGACAGCAATAGTTTTCAATAATTGGAGCTTTACAAGGACAAAGATTTTCTGATAATTAAAAGGGCTTCACGGTATAATAAATATATGCAACATAATGTGATGACCACTGGAAAAAAAATGCAGTAGCTCTTCCATTTTGTTTATAATAACAAATGTGCACTGCAAATTAATAATATTAGTAAATAATGTCATACTAACAATATTTTTATGTACAACAGATGAAAATCTGAACGTTTTATAATGAATTCTGTCCATTTTATAAAATTGTATTCAGTTCTGTCACAAATTATGCTACCTTTGAGCAACGCAACTTTTTTGTCAATAGAGCTCTAGGCTATTTATAGTGAAGGTTCCATTTCCACTGCTCAAATTATACACTTTGCAATTTCCATTGCAGCAAAATTATTGAATGAAAATGTCTCCATTAAATTTTGAGACAGGCACTATCCCTTCGAAATGGCAAACAGAAAATGAAAATGCATCCGAAGAAGTGGGTTGTAGCCCACGAAAGCTTATGCTCTAATAAATTTGTTAGTCTCTAAGGTGCCACAAGTACTCCTGTTATTTTTGCAGATACAGACTAACACGGCTGCTACTCTGAAACAAAACTTGAAGGATACTGTCAAGGTGAATACGAGTAGAAACTGATCTCTCTTGACAGGGATCTTGTTTTAAAGTTCATACCATGAGAAGTTTATTGTTCTATTTCTCTCTCTTTTTTTTAATCATTGCTTGAGTTTAAAATATTTTTAAAAGTTTGACTGACCGTGATATTCACCGTAAGCAAACTATTGTAACAGCATGTGTGCACAGCTGTATCTACTGGCAGACTCGGAGAGTTGAATGTCTTTTGTAAAGACATTTCAAACCTGAGTTTTTTATTTTAAAAAGTGATCAGACTACTCAAGGTAAGAATGACAAAATGGACTGCCAAAGAATTCTGTTTTTAGACATACCCTCTTTAAAGGTGTCTCTTCAGTTATTATGATGATCGCTTTATAAGGCTATTCCTGAATCATGTAATTGAAGAAGGGGGAAATCTATGGCTTTATAATATAAATTGTGGAGTATACTCCTCTTATTTTTTCTTTAACGTTCTTGTCCTGTGCTGAAATTTTTGCTAGTGCCACATTTGCCAAAAAATATCAAGTGTATTCTGCAAGACTGCTGCTGCGTTATCTTAACAAGTTAAATAAAATACACAGTGGAGTCAGTAAAACCTCTCTTGCAAAACATCATTAGTTTCATCAGTCATGGTTTTGAAATGTCTTTAATTATTTACTGGCATTGAATCATAATGAGTCATCATAAACAGAACCAGAAATGTGTATAAAAGGATTTAGATGCAGCTCTCATTTGTATTTGTACAAATTGGAAGTAATTCCTTTGAAGTCACTGGGTTTACCCCAGATTTACACTGAAGTAAGTGAGAGCACAATCTGTCCCTATTTTTCAAATATAGCTCCAAACAGGTTTTCTTCTAGAAATAATGATCTCAGGAACTCTACCATTGTGTGTCCTGTATTTGTGCATTTCTTAAAATAATTTTTTGCAAACCACATTATTTTTAGCTGAGCTATACGTTTTATATGAAATGCACTTTTCATAATATATTGATATTGAAATTCTACTCTTCAGATTATCAGCAAAATCCTGCCGTTTGCTGTGCTGATGTGCAAGGGTAGGGAAGGATCTATGGTGCCTCTATCTGCCAAGAAAGCAGGGGAGAGGGATCTCTCCCCAGGACTCGAGAGCAGTAGGAGGTATCACAACTAGCCTTCTTGTCCATCATGTCTGCAATAGGATATGGACTGCAGTGTGAGGGGCATGTCCAGCAGCCCAGCCAGCTAGCAAGCATGTTGCTATTACTGGCAAGCATACCTGGGTATATACTGTTCTCCTTGCTCTGAGAAGCAGCAAAGTACAGTCTCTCCATAGTGTTTCAGTCCCCATTTAGAATCCTGCCCTAGTCAACAGGATTTCATATCAAACATGACCTACCGGGTATTGTGTCTCACCTCCCTCATAATATTTATAGATTTAAATTATAGCTTGTGTTTCATACATGTGATATTGGTGAAGAGGGGACAGGGAGCACCCTAGAATACCAGCGCAGGAAAAGGACAAGATATTGACTGACAACTGACTAACCCACTATAAGGGTGTCTCCAGCCCCTGGAGGTACGATCAGCCCTCCAGCAGCTTGGCCCTTACAGAGCGCACACCACTCCATTTTGGAGCAGCAGTAAGAAGTAACTGCTGAACATGCCGCCTCTAACCCCTCCAGCTATTTTCCCTGCACAGGTAGAATGGCTCAGTAACCCTCCCATTGGCTACTACTGGTTTGCTCCCCCTTCGGACACACACACAAAGGTGACTCAAAAGAGCAAGGGCAGTTTAGTGCCCATTGTATGGATTGGACAGAAATTCCCACTAATACTGATAGACGTGTACAATTCCAAAGCTATTTTATGTAACTGCTAGGGTTGCTTAAATAAAATGACCACCAATCCAAACCTTAACAGATTGGAAATTCACACTTAAAAAATAACCATTGCGTATAATGGCTTCAGTGACAATGCAGGACCTGATATGATGAAGATGGAAATATTGCAGTGACACTCAGTTCCTTAGGGTATGTCTACACTACAGGATTAATCCGAATTTAGATAATTCGAATTTGGGAAACAGGTTGTATAAATTCGATTGTGCGCGGCCACACTAAGCACCTTAATTCGGTTTTTAACCACATTAATTCGGTGGTGTGCGGCCACACTACCCCATTAACTTAAACACAGTAATTCGGTGGTGTGCGGCCACACTAACCCTAATTCGAATTAACAAAATCGATTTAGGCGCTACTCCGCTCGTCGAGGTGGAGTACAGAAATCGATTTTAAGTGCCCTTTAATTCGAATTAACTGGCTCTGTAGTGTGGACGGGTGAAGGGTTAATTCGGATTAACGCAGCTAAATCCGAATTAAAGTCCTAGTGTAGACCAGGCCTTAATATATAGTATACAATGCATGTTAGCAGGATGTTCCATTGGCCTCATACCCAAGCTGATAATAACCAAAGCATTATGCTAATATGTGCTTCGTTCCATGCTATATATTGTGGGACCAGTTGTGTTTCTGTGAGGCACAGCTGCACTGAAAGAAAGGGCAGAGAACACCTGTGCAGGGGTCTCTGGTGTCATGTCATAAAGAACCACAGAAGGCCTTCTTATAACTTAGAACAAGGAGCTTTAGTGAAATAAATTAAACTATGTTATTCCTTAAGGTGCAGTGTTTGCTCTGCTCCACTGCAGAGTTTCTGCCCAAAACCTTCCCAGCACCCTTCCTACCTGGCTTACTACTATAGTTTTAAAGATACAGTGCATATATCCCAACACCTGGAGACTTTATGCCTGTGCAGGGAACATAGGCCCTCATTCAGGAAAGTACCCCTAATCCAGAAAAGCACTTATGCATGTTTAAGGGCTTTCCGGAATTGCCACAATGTACCTGCTGCTGTTAGTAAGCTTATGATGAGCAATTAATACACCTTTCCACTCCCCATCACTGCTCTACAAACCTCCATTATACATCAGTCGCCTTAGAGCTATGGTTTTTAGAGTGCAGTATACCAGAGAGCATTGAGATCTCTGGTTTTTCTGTAAGAGTCAAAGAAGTTTGACCCCAAAGTGATTAATTAAATGCTTTCAGTTCTGTGTTCCCAGTAGTACTTCTTGACAGAGGGATAGGCTGGGTAGGAACAGATCATGTGAACTGAAAAAAAGAGAAGCAAACATTATTATTGTTCTCTTCACTACCAGATGTCAATGTGGCACTAGGAAAATACAGTAGAGGAACTCTCATGAGTAAGAGGAGATGGGTTCATTCAATCTCCAAAATGTCCATAGGCTTGAAATAATTCCCTTTGTTTTAATTTCACACAAGCAGCCCACAGGACTATATTGAGTGCAAGACTTTCATTTAAGAACTCTTCATTTTATTTTATTTTTTCAAAATTTATTAAAATAAATATGCACATAATGACAATAGCAAACTGTGCTTTACAGCAAATATGCCACTCAGACTGGTGAGTAATGATTTATACTCCGTATCTTAAAATAAAGAGTTTTTTAATGACAATAACAGACTTTTAATTTTCCATGTGCAACTTAATGAATGCCTCAGGTAAAAGGGAAATCCATATTGCAGAAAAAGTATCTTGTTAATTTTTCTCTCATTGTGGCATGTTTTAAACACCGTCCATGCATGTAATTATGTGTTTACATTGTTATCACTCAGACATGTTTCTTGAACCCTTCTGTATTTGAACCCAAGATGTATTTGTTTATGTTGGTAGTGCAGGAACTATACTCCATCTCTACTGTGGGTCAGATGAACGTTTGTGGTAGGGATTTATTGTCTTTTTTGGTTTTATTTTTCTTTAAAAAGGATATTTTAATAATCATTAATGTCGTGTAATTTTTCTGTTAAAGGGGGATGAATAGACTCAAGCGCTCCATTTCTAGGTGTAGTTTCCCTTTAAATAAACTGTAGCAGCACTGCAGAATTAATTTGCTTCCGACTTGAGATTCATGCAATGACATTTTATTTGCAGTAGACCAGGAGTCTCCTGGGAGCTATTCTTCTGCTTTGACTGATGTGGGTCGATGTACTCCACGGGAGAGAAGAGGAATTCCAGACAGAGAGGTAGTTAAACAGGAATAAATAACGGAGCGGCATCCAAAGCCAAAAGAGCATTTATGAGACGATCCAATAACATTTACAAGATAAAGTTTTGTGTGATGCTAAGAAACTGTAATGATGACGATCATAGGAGCATTTAGGCAACCAGTCATTAAGAGAGGGTAATAGAAAGTGTTTTTAATGTTGCATGAAGAACAACATATTTATCTTTCTTTAATGATTAGTACTTAAGATGAAATTGTATTTTCTGCTGATGTTTAAATGGACCAGGACACTCCTGCAGGGGGTCTGCTGATATTTTATGTCAGAAAGGACTGAGAGATGGCAGATGGGACAATAATCTAGAGGAAAATGGCAGTTCTAACTGTGAAGGCTCTGTTGAAAACCAATGACTGTGCAGGCTAATATCCTGAGTAACTGTCGCAGGTGGTTTTAGGGCTGCCAGGAAGATTTCTGCTCCAAAATCACTTCTATTTTTTACTCTGTAAGAGTCTGTTTGAGTACTTTGAGCACTGTCCCTAATTTCTATGGCAAAATAATTTTTTGATTGATTATTCTAATTACATAGTGATTGCTTATGCTATTGCTTATGCTTCAGACAAAAAAATATTAAAACCTTAAAAAGAGAGAGAAAGTATAAAGGCAGCATGAAATGCCAGCATAGTAGAAGGAATGGGAGACCCTGGAATGTATGTATGGAATGTATTATTTAGTCTATTTTAGAACTTTTCTAGTTCAAGAACCAAGAACCTCTCCAAACTTTTTTTTTTTTTTTGAGGGTTTTTCTCCCATTGCAGTGGAGGCGGGTAAATTCTCAATAAACCAAACAATGTCTTTAGACCAGAGGTGGTTCAACTTTTTCAGAGCCACATTTATACAGAGATTTATCTTGTGCATCATCTTCCCCCTCACTCATGAATTCACAGACTGACTACCCTCTCTTTCACAATGAGACAGACCATGTTCTCTCCCTCTCACGACATCGGAGACTAGTAGTAAGAAAGTATTTAATTTATTTTAAACTGCCTTTTATTGTAATTTAGTAGCCAAGAACAAGGTGAGTTGGTCACAGGGTGTCAATCAGCTCTCCTCAGGCAATGAGTGGTCATGGGACCATAGCTTAAGAACCGTTGCTTTGGGCCAATCTGCTGGTTTAATGGTAGCATATAATGTTATTACCTAGGAGATTTGAGATCAGATCTACTAGGTCCTAGGTTTCATAAGACTACTATTATGTAACTCCTATTGGGAGAAGTAGAGAAGAGTCTAGTTCTTGTCCTTCATTGAAAGAAATTGCCACAGTGTGAATTAATTAATGGGAAAACAGACACATTCCAAGTGCAGGGACAATGTTCTGCTATTCTTTCCTAATCAAATTGAAAATCACATTTCAGTCTGAAACTATGTAACTACTAATGTTATAAGCAACCCTTAAGATGACTCTAACGGAAAAAGATTAGAGAAGAAGTAGAACACTGCAGAAGTATGCTGCCTTTGCTAACTTTAAATATAAAGGTAAAAATGTTAAAATATCTGCCTAATGTTAGGTTCTTACATCTATTTTTAGGCACCTAAATAAATGGTTTTCTTTTCAAAAGTCCTGAGCACTCAGCAATTCCCATTTACTTCAGAGGGTACTGCATGCTTTTGAAAATAAACCCACGTATGCAAGTGTTTGAATATGGATTTAAAAGAAGTGTAACCTTTAGGCACCCATCTTTGAAAATCTTGTTGTTTTTTTTTTACAGGCTAAACATTATTTTTATAATATGATAATATTACATGTAAGTATTAATCACTTTGCCTGCTTTTCAGAGGCTGCCAGCTCGAGCTGTATATGACTTTAAGGCTCAGACCTCTAAGTAAGTATTAAAGTTTTGTTGGTTAGTTAAGAGTATGTATGAATGCAAGGGCAACCTTTTTAATACCTGTCTCACCTGTTCTAACCAATGGCCAAAGATTGTGACAGTGTCAGCAGTACATTTCTGTTGAGGGATACCAGCCTCAAGAAGCTACCCAGAACTCTGCTCTGCCTAAGCAGTAGCCCATGAATAAGTAAGCTGTGTAAGAAGCCATTTCATATTTAAAATGTTTGAATGATGTAACACTAATAATATTTGTTCAAATGTGGGAGTGGCTATGCATCCTCAGCACACATTTTTACCCTGTAGTCCTGGCCACCGGTCCGGGGGGCTCTGCATTTTAATTTAATTTTAAATGAAGCTTCTTAAACATTTTAAAAACCTTATTTACTTTACATAAAACAATAGTTTAGTTATATATTATAGACTTATAGAAAGAGACCTTCTAAAAATGTTAAAATGTATTACTGGCACACGAAACCTTAAATTAGAGTGAATAAATGAAGACTCGGCACACCACTTCTGAAGGGTTGCTGACCCCTGCTGTAGACTATAAAAGATCCAAAAGAGCACCTACATTCCATCATCCATGTTGTCCCATAAGATCCCCAGTGTTTATCCCATTTTTTTCATAAATGAAGGGCTAACAACATTATGTCACCTAAATTATGCTCCTGGTCTCTAAACTTAAGGGCATCTGGAACTGTGTGGGGAGTAGGTTAGGGGATGTGGAGCTTGAAAAGTAGAGGGATAATATAGGAGAGAAGACAATGGCCAAGATTTTCAAGTCACTAGTGATATTGGATACCTGAATTTTTGGGTGTCCACAGGGCCGGTGCAACCACTAGGCGAACTAGGCGGTTGTCTAGGGTGCCAAGTGGTTGGGGGCGCCAAAAAGCGGAGGCACTGGAGAGCCAGAGCATCAGCTTGCGGGGGGCGGCGAGCCCCAGCCATGGAGGAGCCGGCACGGCGCAGGGGGGCAGCAGCCCTGCAAAGGCGGCAGCGCCACTAGCGGGGAGCAGCCGCGCCCCCCGCCCCTCCTGCCCACGCTGTGGCCCTGCGCCCCCCCCCCCAAGGGCTCCTGCAGGCTGCAGCAGATGCATGCAGGCGGCGGTCCCCGTGTGCCCCCCGGCTCTCCCCTCGCCGCGCTTGGGTTCTGCGGCTCCCGGGAGTGTGAGCCGCCGGGGCACGGGGCCCTGAGCCTGCTCCGAGAGGGGCAGTGGCGGCGGCGGCTCACACTCCTGGGAGCCGCAGTGCCCGAGCGTGGCGAGAGGGGAGCCGGGGGGGAGCACGGGGGCTGTCGTCCACAGCCCGGGCAGGCGCGCCCCCCGGCTCGCCCCTCACCGCGCTCAGATTCTGTGGCTCCTGGGAGTGTGAGCTGCCACCGCTGCCCCTCCCGGAGCTCCCCCCCTCCCACTGCCTCAGCACTCTGCGGGGGAGGGGCTGCACGCACGGCAGCCCAGCAGCGTGTTTTGCTTCCACGTGGAGCCAGCGTCTGAACGGCATGGGCATGGTAAGGGGAGTCCCGGGGGGCAGTCAGGGAGCAGGGGGAACCGATGTGCAAGGGGGAGCGCAAGGTGGAAGTTTCGCCTAGGGTGCAAAATATCCTTGCACTGGCCCTGGGTGTCCAACTTGAGATACTTTAAAGGGACTTGATTCTCAGAAAGTGCTAAGCGCTTGCCAATTTGGGCACCAAAACCTGAGCCAACCAAAATCATTAGCCAGCTTTTAAAATCTTGACCAAGATTTTCAACGTAGACCCATTTCAAAGGGGTATATTCTGTGAGAATCAAGACACAAAAAAAATACAGTGGACCAAATTCTGCTCTCGTTAATAGTAACACAACCCCACTGAAGTTCATTGAGTTAGGTGGGTGTAAATGAAAACAGAATTTGAACTTGTATTTAAAGAAGAGAAGACACATTTGATAGGGAAAGGAAAATTATTTCATATTTCTTAGAGTATTACAAACAGTTGAGATCAAAATCTATTCAAAAACTACCCTGACAATAACCCTTTACATTTAAACAGTGACATAGATCTCTCATCATGTCTTTTGATGCCCTTTTGACCTAAATATAAAGGACTGTTATGTGCACCTGTATTAGTAATTCACACAAAGATAGCTATTGACTGAATCTTCATGCACAGTAAACTGAATGTTTGTTTATACAGAACATAATCCTGTCCTTTACAACAGTGAACCATGCAGAGTGGGCTGAGTGGGTCAGGGCAGGAGGGTGCCTGAGCCAACTTGCTGGGGTAGGATAGGGTAATTCATGGAGGTATGGCAGGAATGTGCAGTGTAGTGCACCTTTCTGCTTTTATAAAAGGGAGCACCAAATGGCTCTCCTATCCACCTATGGATCGGCAGCTGAAGTAGCATCCACACAGGAGGGACAGAAGACACCGAACTTGCATGCAGATCCACGTGTATTTGGGGCTATGATGTAGATCAGGCCTATCTCTTTAGCGGACCAAAACCAGAATCCAAACCCAAATACCCCAAGTTTCAGATTCAGATCTGATTCTGAATCCAAACATTGCTGCTTGTGCCAATCTGCAATTTACAATTATTTTATTATATGTTATCCACTGGGATACGCAGTAGGACTACGATGCTCCTTCCTCAGATATTTGTTGTTAAATTACATGTATAAACAGCACTGGAACTTCTGAAGCAATTAGAGCAGTTCAGTCACAAATCTGAAAATGTCTGACTAAAATAAATCTGTTACAGGGAACTGTCCTTTAAGAAAGGAGATACTGTCTATATCCTCAGGAAAATAGATCAAAACTGGTATGAGGGAGAACACTACGGAAGAGTTGGAATTTTCCCAATTTCTTATGTTGAGGTTGGTCTGTTGTTTTAATTTCTGGGATTAGTTTTTAAAATAGATGCACAAATTACATGGAAATAATGCAAAAAAATTCATGTTCTCCTTTCAGAAACTTTCTCCCCCAGAAAAAGCACAGCCTGCCAGGCCACCTCCTCCAGCACAAGTTGGAGAGATTGGAGAAGCTATTGCCAAATATAATTTCAGTGCAGACACAAATGTGGAACTATCATTGAGAAAGGTAACATCTAGAGTTATCTTCAGTGAAAAACATCTACACTGAATAACTGTTTATAAATAAAACAACTTAAAAATTTGAACATAAATGCTATTGTTTCACCTACTCTGAAATCACAGAAGAGCTACACACAAAGCAAAATACTAGTAGTGGGATATTTGCAGAGAACTTAATTAACCTTCTTTGCTTCATATCTCCAGGTATCTATCTCTACATTTGTGAATGGTGTAAATGTGTTAGGCATGCAAAACAGGTAATTAGGTTGTACTTGCCTGATTTGCACATGCAAACAACAGGTTGCATGTACAAATCAGGTAATTGGGTGCCTAATTGCCCAAGTTGCATGTACATTACCCATCTACACATTTTTCAATTGCCTCTTTCCTCAACCACAATTGTGGGGCCTGCAATTTTATAGGTGCACCCACTGTTTTGGGTATATAACAGGAGATTTTAAAACTGTGACGGCTTATCTATGGACATTTTTGGAAGCCCCTGTGACATTTTGTGGATTACCCAGACCAATAAGGGGTTCTGTCACAGCCTGCCTTATAACTTTGGATTCCTTAATACTATTCTGCTATGACTCAGAACCCTGACAGCCTACAAATAGGTCTCAACCCTGGCTTCCACCAGCCTAGTTACTCTTTGCAGGATGACCTCAGCAACCCCTTCCGATCCTGAGTCCCCGCAGATCTGTCTCCCTGAGTTCTTAACTACAAGATACTCAGACTTTTCCTCTCTGGTTTGACACCTCTGAAGGAGTAAAACCTGCCCCCAGTGATCAGTTCACTTTGGCACACACACTTCACACAGTTTGCATACCAGAGACGACCTTGGGGTAAATATAAAGAAAAAGTTTATTCAATAGAAAAGTCAAAGATGAAATAGTAAGGGAGAGCAAACAAATACAAGTTGCACAGAAAATAAACAGGAAGACACAATCTCAGGCTTTACGCTTCTATGTTAGCTAAATTGCATTTTCTAATACAAGTTACCTATTGCCTCTGTGAAGTTTCCCTGCATAACCCTTGCCATAGAGAGGATCCAGTGTTTCATGGACAGCACCCCACTTAGATGCTGGACCTCCATTTCTGGATAGCTTTCACTTAAACCCGTTACTGTTCAACAGGATTTACAGGGTTGGTGGGTTTGTTTTTACTTCTTCTTTCTCTCAGACTATGGTAATTCATGGTTACAAAGTGCAGGGAAACTCCCTTCTTCCTTAGGGCTTGTCAACAGTACGAAGTTATGTCGACGTAAGGCACCTTACATTGACTTAACTGTGTAAACATACACACTACAATGTTCCTCTCACCCCTGTCACTCGCCCACTACGTCGCCCTAGTAAATCCACCTCTATGAGAGGCATAAGGCTTAGGTCGACATAATTGGTGCAATGCAGTGTCTGTATAGATACTGTGTTACTTGCATTGCCTGTTGGCTGTCAGAGTGGCTGACAGCCAGAGCTGTGAAATTAGCAAGAATGTCAGTTTCACTGCTGGTAGGGTTCCTGTTTTGAAATTGAGTGTGGCGGGGGTGGGGGGAGTGAGGGATGAGGGAAGGGTGTTCCAGCTGTGAACCCAGTAGTGATGAGAGCCCAGGCTGTGGGTTCCCTTCAGAACTCCCAACTGGAGCCCGGCTGCAGCCAGGGCTCTCTGCTCTCCACACTGCTCCTCTTAAGTCAGTGCAAGCGCTCCTGGTGAGGACATGCTCCACTAACGAAAGAGGGTAGTGTGCACATGGAAAAAGCGCAGTAATTACTGCAGTGGCTTTAAGTCAACCTGTAGTGTAGTGTAGTGTTGACAAGGCCTGAATTTTCCAAGGCTGTTTTTTTGTTTTTGTTTATTTCAATTTCAATGTCTTCCCATTAACTTAAATAGACTACCATTGTCTTTCCCTGGGTTGTACAATGCTAGATGCTTGGAGCTAGTTTCATGTAAACAATTAGCCTGAGAGGTGCCCCTCCCTGCCTCATTGCTTCACACACACACACACACACACACACACACACACACACACCGTTGTGAAGTGATGCTATAGTTGCATCCTAGCTATAGTTACAATGTTCTACATATACATAACCTGTATACATATCTCCCAAGTTCAGAACATTACATGCTTTCATCAAAGATCTTACCTGACATATAATTATACACTATAACATTGTATGCAACCAGTTCAGTTGCTTATTCTTTGGGGTTCAGACACCTTGGTCTCCCTTTGGGTTGTCTGGAATCTGAATGTCACAGCAATATATTAAATAAATACTATTCCATAATTCCAAGTTTGAATCTCATATTATTGTCACACACTTGGGTATTATTTTAAGAGGTTTTATTATAATACAGATTTGTGCTGTTTGGAATCTATTATCCTGGCTGTAAGATATTTGGTGCAAGTTTCTAATTAAAGAAATATTTCTTCTTGGATTGAACACCAATATTTTCTTTCTAATTGTAATACTAATTCTTGCTGTTTCAACAACATATGGTAATTTAAAATAGGTATTCTTAAACATAAATTTACAAATCGAACCATATTTATTGAATAATTCCAAATTAGGCATAGCAAGATATTAAATATTAATGTATTTCACCAAGTGATACATCTTTATCAGAAGATGTTTAATCCCCAAATGATCTGGTGATGAAAGGGCATTATTCATACACAGAACAAAGATTACAAAAATATGGACATGAAAACATCTTCCATGTAAAACCTACTACACTGATTAGTAAAGCAAATGTAAAATTTCAAACTTTGGTTCCTAAATTTCGGTACCATAAGCCATGATTAGCATCCAAAATAAGTGATATTGATATTCATAACCCACAATGAAGTGATTGGGAGCTGAAGAGTGCTCAGTATCTCTGAAAATCTGTTGTTTATCATAGAATATCAGGGTTGGAAGGGACCTCAGGAGGTCATCTAGTCCAACCACCTGCTCAAAGCAGGACCAATCCCCACATGTTATCCAGATTCTTAACATTAGGTATGCAGGCTTGAAAACATTTGCCATTAGGACTATTAAAACAAAACAAGATTTTGTACTGGTAACACGTAGAAAAATTTGTATCCATAGGGTAATTCTGCCTCATTCACACTTTCCTGGTGAAAAAAGGCCAATGCCAGATGGTCTGGTAGGAAGGAATACACTGATCTATTTTTCATCTGACATGACTGAGCCCAGAACATGATCTTATTGATGGTGATTCAGGGACTGATCCAGCACCCATTGAAGGTGTTGGGAGTTTTTCCATTTACTTCAGTCTTGCTGAATCAGGCCCATACTATGTTTAGTATGCCCTAAAATCAGGAAGACTGAAGTGAAGGATTAATTTTCTTAATGTGAATATTAAACATGAGCATTATAATGTGAACTTCTGGTTATAAATATTGTAAACATTCATGTTTATAGCTCCTGGATTTTATATTCACAGGACTTGCTATCTTCATAGCCTGGTTTTGATGAACGAGTGGCTGGCACTTGTTTGTTTTTGTTTGTTCAACTAGAGATGCTTTTATGGTACTCACAAATCAACAACAGAAACAAAATCACATAAAACTAAGAGGACTTTGAGATGGAAGGGTGGGCATTGAAAAAAGTTGTCCTGCAGGAGACATGATAAAATGTATGTTATATAAAACAAACAGGAGTCCATAAAATTTTAATAAGGAGAAAAGTACTTTAGTGTGGCCTTTCTTAATCATTACTGGATTTTCAAGAAAAATACAAAACCAAACAATGTGATGAGCAAAACATTTAAATTAATACAACAGTCACTATTACTGACTGCAGGAAGGGGCCAGGTCAGTGGTCTAATGGAACAATAGTGTACTGCCATGTAGGCATCTAAGTTCTGAGCTTGAATTCAGAACTCAGACGCCCACTGAGCAGAGCAAAGTGCACCTCAATTGTTGTTTAGTATCTGGTATAGGAATGGCATTCATAGACCAACACAGGCCCTCTCTTGCTGGAACGATAGCATTATGTGAAGTTAATGGGAAAGTGGGGGTTATTCTGAAGGCTCTGACCAGGGCCACAAAGGACCCCCATGAAAAAATACTGTGATATGTTGAGATAACTTTATTTTCTGAGTAGTTTATATTTTTATCACTTGTCCACTGATAATTAATTTTGATAATGCATTACAGGGAGACAGAGTAATTCTTCTTAAGCGAGTTGATCAAAACTGGTATGAAGGTAAAATACCAGGAACCAACAGACAAGGCATCTTCCCTGTTTCCTATGTAGAAGTCATCAAAAAGAATGCATCAAAAGGTGCTGGTGACTACCCCGATCCTCCAATACCCCAAAGCTATTCTAGTGATAGAATACACCATTTAAGTTCAACTAAGGTAAGGACGATTTGTTTTTCCATCATGCCTACAGTGTGTTAATACAATCTTGTACATCTTTGGTAAAATAACAAATAAACAGTTTAATATACATTTTTTAAAAATTCACGCATCCCACCCACAGAAATCATATTTAATACTCAGTCTTTTTCTGAAGATAGAGTTGCATTGCCAAATTTTCATTGTACAACTTAATTTTTTACATTTTTTAGCATACACTATGGCATTTAAGCCTCTTGCTGGTTTTCACTAAGTCTATAAAATTCAAAGTGTAAAACCTAGGACATGTTTTAAATATCCTTCATGGATCGATCCCAAACTCCACAAGTCTAGTCATTAACCATTACATTATCTAGAGAATGGCCAGGCAGAGTTTGGGCAGCAAATCAATCCCACCAGAACAAAACATGTTTGGCAACTTGGAACAGATTTGAGCATTGTGGGTTATGTTCAGTGGACTGTTATGTTGCAATCTGAACATCTTTTTTAATGACACCGCCCAGAAGATCTTCCAGTCCCCTAAAAGAAAACCCATGAGAGTGGCATGAGAGGGCTGTTTGCATGAGGACATAGCTGGCCAAAAATAGCCCTGTGCTCTCCCTGTCCATCCTTGGGTGCAAGGAGAAGGAGTCAGCCAATGACTTTTTTGTGTGACTGGCCTCCTTTTTGCCACCCACCCTCCAGAGATGGACTTTTGTCATAGTGCAGGCTCCTTGGGGTGATTTTGTAACATGATAGCACTTGTGTTAAGCTATAACGATGCAAATGTCATCACATTGCAATACAGTTCAGGTTCAGATCTTTATAGCTATAACCTTAAACTAAGCTTCTTTACAGCTTCTTACACCTAGTCATGAACACTCTCAAACCTTTCAGAAGTGTTTGAACCCCCCTTCCATCCCAATCTATGCAACCATCACAAATTATGTTGGCTGATGGGAGAAAAGTTGGTTTCCATTGAAAGTTCTGTTCTTTTTTGATGATGAGGAGACTTTGATCAATTACTCAGTTGCTGAAATATTACTACCTTCTCACAAAGATTTGCACACAGTCTCTTTAATGGCAATAGAAGCATGAAGATTTTTGTATGTGGCTTCAATTACTGTTAATGAGCGTTATCAGTCTAAAACTTTTGAACATCAAGGAGAAAAAAAACCCTTCAAATGTTCATTTTCCTTATTTGTTTATCTCTTTAGAGTATGTTCTTTTTGTGTGTGTAGTTTGTAAGCTCTCTTTGTTCAGTTATTGGTGTATTTTTGTTTCATGATGTCAGTAATATATTACCTTGCTCCTTTTCATCTATATTCGTATATTAGTGCTAAGTTACAATGTTAGAATAGGAGAAGCTTCCCAAGCCTGACCTTTGAATTTTGTGTCTATGGATAAACACTAATAGCATCAAATGTGAGATTTACTTGATCAGAAGATGGTTCTTGGTCTTCAAATGTGTGTCAACAGGGATGCCAGCTGCTATTTTTTTCCCACCCAATAAGTTTTGGGTTGGAGGAGGCAACAATTTAAGTTTTATAGTAGTTAGCCATCTTCAAATCCCCCTACTTCCAACTCTTTATCACATAACTCATTGCTAAGGTTCTCATCATTCCATTTAGAGCTGGGCTGTGGTTTCAAAGCATAAGTTCATGAGATACTCACGTTTAAGTTAAAATCACCCAATAATTCTTTGATATTTAAATATTTTACATCTTTCCTCACTTTGAAGTTGAAAAGACCAACTCTTGGGGAAGAGATTGGAATGAGAAGGAGTTTGGAGGATGTATTAAAGGGTCTCGATCTCTTGGAGCTTGAAGAAGAAAACAGAACATCTGTCCCTGATCTATATTTCTTCATATTAGTTGCTGGATAGTTCAAACTATCTTTGTTGTGATAGAAAACTAAACATAGCAGTGGGAAGATCCTCAGCTGATGTAAATGTCATAGCTCCATAAGTGCCAGTGAACTATGGCAATTTGCACCAGCTGAAGATCCTCCCCTGAGACTGCTCCAATAAAGCATCTTTCCTTGACCAGGAAGGAAGAGGGCACCTAGAGATGCCACATGTTCTTTCTCCTAATGACTTCATAGGAGGTTGACAAGACAGTTAGCAATGGACAGGTTTGACAAAAACTCTGAGCACATGGAGAATTAAAATGGCTAAGTTTCAGGAAAGAGGCACTTGATGTTTCTGATATAACAATAAGGACCACTGGGCCTTATTCTCCACTCTGTTAGACCAGTTTTATGGTGATATCAATGTAGTTACTGTGACATAGCAGGGTACAGTCCAGACTAATGAGCACTGTGTCACCCTGCCCTCTAACCTGGGGTACCTTTTACAATACTTTTCTGCTGTAGCCTCTAGCCTGGACTGCTCACAAACAGCCTCCAGCATGCAGGTCACTCCCAACTACATGTGTGTGTGTGTGCTGCAGCCAGCCAGCCACCCCTTGGCTCTTACTAGCCTTGGTTATACTGCAGGGTGACCCCAACAGACTCCCAGTCTTAGATTTTCCCCTAGCAATGTATGTCCTGTACTGCCCAGCCATCAACAGGATAATACAAGTTCATATAAAGTCCATTACTTCCTTAATAGAAATAATATGCACACAATTTGCCACCCCATTTCCCAGGCACTTCAATTTAAACACATTGGATTAGATAAAACAATAAAACAAGTTTATTAACTACAAAGAGAGAGAATTTAAGTGTGTACAAGTAACGAGGCACAAAAATCAGAAATGGTTACAAGAAAATAAAGTCAAAATGCTATTGGTGCATAACTTAACAAACTATATCAGATTCAAGCAAAGTTTCTCACCATATGCTTTCAGCAGTCTTACTGACCAAACCCTCTAGGTCAGGACCCCTTTTCCCAGAATCCAATGAAGTCTTCCTTTGGTGTGTCAGATATAGAGAATCAATGGGCAAGTAGAGAGAGGTGGGGTACCTTGGGGTGTTTGCCCTTCCTTTTTAGATTTTTAGTCCTCCTTTTGAAAAACATTTCCAACTGGGTACCAGGAGACAAAAAGTTTATATGGAACGTTTCCCTGCTGCTTTTTTCTCACCTGTTTGAGCTTCCTTTATCTCCCCATTCCTGCTTGATGACTCTGTTTACTGCTTAAATGCAAATGAAGGAGAGCACACATTTCTTTGTTTGAGACAGACGTGTTTGCCAACCTCTGTTTGGATGTGTGTTAATAACACCATGCAGTAGAATTTTATAACTTCACATACAATGTTACCACACATATTTTATCAGGACAATATTGACGAGCAAATTGTGAGTTTTCAAATGATACCTTACTTTGTACAACGATTATTACAATAGTGTGCAGGGTGTGGACACAGGTATATTCTGTCAGTTACCCCTCCATAAAACTGTAACGAAGTGACGAATCAGGCCCACAGAGTCTAAAACAGATGTCTACACACGTGCATGTCAGTGAGTATCTGTTTTCTAAGAAAAAACTCAAGGGTCTTTTATGTGATAGAGGGAATTTCTGCAGCAGTTGCTGCACTGACACAAATGGAAAAAAAATACTGTACTGAAATCTCTCAAGCCAACTTCTCATCCATTAATTCTTCTATATATTCAGAAGAGGCTACGTGTGTGGAAAAAGTGTCTTAAGTCTTCTTTTCTTACAATAGCTGGAGAGGCTTTATTAAACTTAAGCCTTCCAAACTGAGTACTAGGGTTTAGCATGACCAGTGGCTTCACTTCAGGATTCTACTTATTCTTCCTCCTCCTATTCAACATGTAACCCATTATATCATTTTCTGCCTCTAGAGGCTCTTCCAGTTGTTGCGGGGGGGAGGGGAGGGGAGAGAGATAATTCAATAATCTTTGCATTATGTGGGATCTGTTCATTGTCAAAAACAAAGAAACTCAAAACTATTACATTTTGCAAGAGGACTTGATATCAGGAAATCCTATACCAAAGAATTGTCTAACTTCTCAAAAATAAAGCCCTCTACCTTGAGAAAACTTCAGTAGGAGGTAAGTAACTTGCTCTCTTCTCCCCAGTCTATGACTCTCCGGTTCAAACTCTGTATAAGTAATAAAGCCTTATTTTCTTTTCTTACAGTAGTATTTAAAATCTAAAGTAGCCAGATAACTAAAGAGATGTGCAGTCTAGAATTGTTTTAGATTATTCTAACAAGGAAATTAAAATATTTTTTTCATGCCAGTTTAATTTTGAGGATTATTAGTAACAAAAAATACATTTTCAGTATTTACTGAAGCAATGGATATCTACAGACGCAGTGTACGTATGACTCACCAGTCTATCATTCTTACAAAAGGACTTTTCTTTTACCAGAAGGATACTTCAATCAATATTATGTAATGCTACTCAAAATATATTGCTATGTACTGTGCTGTCACCATCTTAAAAAGGATTGTTTACTGTCTACATTCTATTAGATTTAAGTGTATGTATCTTAACTAAAAATGTAATTTTATTTGTTCACAATTACATAAATTTTAAATAAAAAATGCATTATGTAGCTATTGATGCCTTAATAAAAGTATGCAATGTATTTAAGATGTTTCTTTAAGATCACCACAAGAAGGTACAACAAACATTTAACATTAGGAAAATTAGAGATTATTTGGTTTGTTCTGTTTGTATTAGTGTTTAATGGCACCCAGTGAGCAAGGTGCTTTTAACAGTACGACTATTCTGAAAATAATGGTTTGGGGAAATCACAGCCATCTTGAGTGTACTATATAACAACTTGAGATAGGCTCACTAGCATACAGCAGTAAATAACATAATCCTAGCAGATCAAATTTAGGCTCCCTTCATACTCCGTGATTCAGATCTGTCTTGATGTTTGACATTTAAGCCCTAGGCCAGAACCTGATACAGTTTCACTTTTCAAATATCTTTTCAGCTATTCTGATTCATGTAGTAATGATTTCAGACATTTGTGCTCACTGAAATGATATCCTATAATCTAGAAGATGGCACATAACTTTTTTTGCTTAAGCTACTCATATC